TTCAGGGAGTCACCTGGGACCCTGCCCCAATCAAGGCATCGGTTGATCAAATGTGGCCACATCAGCAAGTTAAAGAGTCCCTTGCCACAATTCCAGAGTCTACAGCAGACTACTGTTCACTTTTCTTTTTTTTTTTTTTTTGCTTGTTTTTATGATTTCTTAGTTGTCCTTATTGATGCATGGCCTAAAACACAATTTTGTTATTATGCTAGTCCAGCAATATCAAATGCTTCTTGCTGGTTATACTAGCCTGTTGCTTACACTTAAATATATAAAATAACTTGAAAAAACTCCAGGTAGCTTAACACTAGTCCTAGTGAGGTAGTTCAAAGTAGTAGGGAAGGTTCTTTGTGGAACAGCAGACTAGTTTGATAGTAGTGGTATCACGGAATAAAACTTGAAATCCTGTAGGACATGTGGAGAATAAACAGAAAGAGAAACTCCAATGTTATGGTGTGTATATATATATATATATATATACATATATACATACATACACACTGTGTTACAGAAGGTATATAAATAAAATACTACTCACAATAGCCAGAGCTATAATCCAGCTCTGGTTTATAAAGCGTGAAGTGGAATAATCCCCACTCAAGGATATATGCAGTTCTCTAAGCTTTCAATCTTGTGTAGCAGCAGAGTAGTCCAACCCTAAAAATAAAAAGTGGTAGAATATAGTGCTCACTGTATCTTTAAGTGGCAGAGTAAAATATATGAAATGTACTTACAATTTGCCGAGCAGACTCACTGCTCGGTGTATAGCATATGGGTGGAATAATCCCGACCCAGGAATTCTTTATGCTTCTTAGGAACAACAAAAGGGATGTCAGGCCCAAAATAGTAAAAACTAAAAAAAGGAATATGGCAAATATAGTATATAGCCAAAAAATGTCTTTATTAAACAGAAATAATAAGTTTTGAAACGTGTTTCGCCTACACAGGCTTCTTCAAGTAGAAACTAACATACAGTTAGAAACATTTTATTATTTCTGTTTAATAAAGGAATTTTTTTGGCTATATACTACATTTCCCATATTCATTTTTAAAGTTTGTTTTTTTTTTACTGTTTTTGGACATATAAATCATAGGTAACAAGCACAGTGCATCTGGATTGCACTGTGCTTGTTACCTATGATTTATATGTCTGTGTTCTTGTCTCAACTATATCCCAATGTTTTACCATCCTGTGCCTCAAAAATTTTGATTGACAAAAATAAAATAGCAAGATATGACTGCCATTCTGGGGTCAAGAAGGATGTTTTCCCCCCTAGTTTTCTGCAAAATTAGAGGGATTCAGACTTTTTTTTTTTTTTATTGGATATACAGCAAAAACAAATTTGAGAATGGCTGAACATGATAGATGGATGTCACTTTTCAGCTATGTAACCTGTGTAATATAGATGGAATACAAAACTACAGTGCCACTCGTATACGCTAGGATTCCCAACAGAGTCCTCAAGTTACCTCAACCATTCCAAGACAGGCATGTCCTAATTCTGTTCCAAGGTTACATAGGTACATGTAAAAAAAGAGATTTGTGTCCATCAAGTTGAGCCTTCCTCACATATGTTTTTGCTGTTGATCCAAAAGAAGGCAAAAAAAATGGTCTGAAGCGCTTCCAATTTTGCAACAAACTAGGAAAAAATTCATTCTTGACCCCAAAATGGCAGTCAGAGGTCTCCTTGGATCAAGCAGCTATTACCACACTAATTAGAAATTAGATCCCTGCATGTTATGTATTTGCAAGTATTTATCCAATTGCTGTTTAAACTCTGATAAAACCACCTCTGCAGGCAGAGCATTCCACATCCTTATAGTTCTTACTGTAAATTTTTTTTAAACAAAAACGTTTGCCTTAAATCTATTTAATTAAAATTAAATCTCCTTTCTTCCAGCCTAAATTCATGACCCCATGTCCTATGTATAACCCTGTTTATGAATAGATTCCAAATAATGGTTTGTACTGGCTTGTGGAGTCCATGCCTTGATGCAACAAAGCTGTTTAGGCAGCACAAGGGGTACCTACATGATATTAGGCAGGTGATTTTGATGTTGTGACTGATCAATGTATGTCTTTTTCAAAGTGCATCCAATTTCAAGTACACTGATACGGCATACAAATACACATGTAATATCTGGAGTGAGGATGGTTTCCTACCCCTGGTGTAGTGATGTATTGTGAGTTTGTAGGTTGAACAATTGTCCCGATTGTAGCGGGTAGTCCCGGTTTTCGGCGATATGTTTCGTCGTCCAAAGAAACTTTCTTGGGACGCATAAATGTCCTGTTTTTTCCTCACCGGCCACAGGGCAGTTTGCCGCAGCTGAGGGAGGGAGCTAGGGCCAGAAGCGTTGCTGCGCATTACCATGGCAACACTCTGACACAGCCAGCACACAATGTAACCCCTAGACCCCCACACACATAGCACCCTCACAAACACTGAATCCCTCCACGCACATTGAACCCCTACACACCCTGAATCCCTCACAAAGCACCTCAAACACACTGAACCCCACACACACAGCACCCCCTTAACACACACACACACACACACACACTGAACCCCTCCACGTACACAGCACCTACACGCACAGCAACACCCCACACACTGAACCCCTACACACACTTACTGCACCACACACACACTGCAGTCTGTCTGTGTGTTTAGCAGTCTGTGTGTGTTTTCAGCAGTCTGTGAGTATGTGAATGTGTTCAGCAGTCTGCATCTGTATTCATCAGTTTGTTTGTGTGTCTATTCAGCAATCTCTGTGTATTCAGCAGTTTGACTGTGTATGTTTTCAGCAGTTTGTCTGTGTGTGTATTCAATAGTCTGTGTGTATATTCAGCAGTCTGTGTGAATTTAGTTGTCTCAGTGTCTGTGTATTCAGCAGTCTATCTGTGTGTATTGTATTTGTTGGAGGTACCAATGAATATAAGCTTCATTTTATTGATAATTTATATATATTTTTTCCTGTGACTGATGGCGTAGGCAGAGCCCCAGTGCATTGCTTTGCCTGGGGGCCTATTACGATGGCTCTGATCATGCTCCTACAAAATGTAAGTGAAAATACACTTATTTGAGCACCAAGAAGGGGGTGAGCTGTAATAGGTTAAAAACTTCTAATGTGTATGTATTTCTCTGTTGTTTTTATGCGATGTTTGTTTTACTAATGGTAGTCCCGTTTTTTTTTTTTTTTTTAAGTCCCTGAGGATATGGACAGTGTTTTGTGGGGGGGTGATCAGGTTTTTAAAATTATTTTAATTCTTATAAAATTAGGTTATTCCCCCGCCTCACACATGACACTTGCCTGTTGTCTACCCCTGCACTACACACACTGCATCTTTGTGGCCATACTCTAAGATGGGCCCTGCACCTGGGGGTGTACATGGGGCCTGTGACGAAGTGCCCTTCGCCACTTGTGCCTGCAGGGGACTATTGGCTACCCTCCTGCCTTCCGACTATGGCCCCTGTGCTGATAGCTGTATTTTACCCTGCAGAAAGGTTTATTTGTGTATTTCTGCCGGGGCGTTCGGGACTTTCAGTATGTGAGTAGTGCTACCCCAGATAGCTATGCCATGGAGCCTATTCGTGAAACAAAAGACTATGGAAAAGACTTTGGCTCCATGGCGATTGAACTGTATGTATGTGATCTGAGCGCCATTCGGTAATAATGTGCGCTCAGATCTAAGCTATCTGGGGATATGTTGCATGTATATGTTTTATGTAGAAATTGTAACATTGTGTAATTTTATGTCTTTTTGTAACCATGTGGTTAATGAAATCTTGCCTCTGTCCTGGGAGATAATTTGACTACTTCCCAATTATCTCCAGGATAGAGGAGGGATTGTGATGTCACTGTGGGAGTGTTTTGATTGTATTGTCTGTGATTGGCTAATATCCAATATGTGTCCCATTGTTCCATCAGGTCCCTTAGGGGAATGTCCACTCGCAAAAATACCGGGCAGGTAGCCCTCAATAAACCAGACCTACTTGCAACTTTCTTGAAGCCTTGGCTCATGCTTAGGGGAAGGGATACCTACACTCTGGGGATTGCTATAATCACTTATTCCCCAGAGTAAGCTCTTGCAAGAACTTGATTTGTTCCTGCTACGCTCTCTGGATTTAGGAGAGGTTCACCCACTGGAAGCTGGATCCTGGTCGTGGATCCAGCTTGGGTGAGAGACGGCGAGACCCCGGCGCAGTGCTGATGGTTTCGGTTGGAGTGCTCAGAGTCCTTGGCAAGCGCTAGGAGCATCGATTGGCGGAGGTGCTCAGTCGGAGTGCCAGCGGTACGTCACAGGGCCCATGCATTGAGCTGTGGAAGAGGCCCCAACATTTCTGATGGCAGCCCTATATGCAAACTCATATATACAAATGTCATTTTATACAAATGCCTTCATTATGGTATACGGTTCATTCATTAACCAAGCATTGTGAAATCCTGACAAAGGATTTGTAAATGTAAGAGCAAAAATAGCAGCAGTGGAAAACTTAGTTGGACTATTTCTTTATTTGGCTGTCATATTTTGAAATTACTTTTATATAGGCACTACATCGAATTGTGTATTGTGTAACCTGTTTACATACTTAAGTTAAACATCCCATAAAAAAAAATATGTATATATTTCATTGACACAAATATTTTCAAAATTCACCCCCCATCCACATTTTAGAATATAACCCTCCCTACCCATAACTGTAAATAAATTCCACTATAATGTGTATACACTCCCCCATGCTGCAGCATTCAGCTCCTGATACAGTATCCACTCTGTGCTCTGCTGTTCACCCAGTGCAGCATTTCCTGGATCTCACCCATTGGTTGTCTCCTGGAGTCCTTGGTTTCTGATTGGACACTGAAACGGGAACGCGCTCGGAAGCCTACAGCCTTGCAGAGAGTACAACTTCCCAAACGCAATCCCGTGAGCGCCGCCGATCCTCGTGCCCGCCGTCTCCTAGCAACCGAAGGACGCGCCGGTGCTTTATACAAATGATACAGGAGTAACCCGCACACATATTGCACAATGTCCTCCAAACCGGGCAAGAAAAAGGAGTCCGTGCACCGAATGAGCTCAGCGATGGGGCACACACCTAGAGAGTGAGTGGAGGGGTGAGGGAGGGCTGAGTGCCCACTTGGAGTGATTGGCATCAGGTGGTCTGAGGGCAGGAGCGGGCACTCTCTCCAATTTACTAATAAATGTCATCTAGTTTACCCAGGCAGGGTGTGTGAAGCTGGGTAGTGAGAGCATGATGTGCTAGCAGTATAAAGGCTGCTTATTGTAGTAAAATACACAAACAGATCAGGATTAGTTTGGCCATAACATTGTTAGAGGTTATTTTTTTTATTTAGGACAAACAGGAAAAAAAAAAAAAAAAGTTCTGTAATAATATTCTGTGTGTATATTGTGATTGCCATTTGACTAGCAAGTTATGTTTTACATTGTTTTTGGTGCATTTCTGGTGACATTATGCCACACGTACAACATATATAGTAAGCGCTCAACTCAAGTTCTGGTAACCCAGTGTTACATGCACTAATCCAAACAGGGTGCTAAAAATGGGGGGGGGGCACACCCATAGCACACCAATTAATGCAGCACAGCCTGGCCCCCACCCTTGAGCGACGGGTGGGGGCCCTAAATTCCAATAAGTGGGGGGTGGGTACCTATTGCCGTCCTCCCTCCGGGCCTGCACCCATAAGCGGCGGGTGGGTGTCCTAAATGAAAATGTTAACCCACCCCACCCATAAAAAAAATAATTAATAAACACCTACCTACACCCACCACCCTAATACAGCGCTGCGGTATATACTGGGCCCATGTTTCCCTGTCAGGGGCGGATCCAGAACCTAATCTTGGAAGGGGCACTGGTAGATTATTTAAAGAAACAATCCAGGCACAATAACCACTACAGCTAAGAAGAGTTTGACAATGTACCTGGGGTTTGCCAAGATAGGGGCAGTGGTGTGTGTGGGGCACAATGTGTGTGTTTATGGGGGTGCACTGTGTTTTTTGAAGGCTGTAGTGTGTGTGTGTGTGTGAGCAGGGCCGGTGCATGGCTTTTGGGTACACAGGCGAGCATGATTTTGGCACGCCCTCCCCAAGCATCTTCACCTGCCTTTTGTTTCTTATTCCCTTTTTAAAAATGTCTTACCCCTTTTAGTATATCTTTTCCACTATTTTTCACCATTGTGTGCCTTACACCTCCCTTGTGTATCTCGTACAATCCCCCTTTGTGTGTATTACTCCCCCCAGCCCCTTCTTGTGTGTTTCCTCCCACCCCCCTCTTAGTGTTCCTCTCCCTCTTTTAGTGGTCCCCCTACCCCAATGTTCCTTTTCCCTTCTCTCCCCGTTCCTTAGTGCCCCCTACTCCCCCCCCCAGTGTTCCTCTCCCCTCCCTCTTTTTAGTGTTCTTTTCCACGCTCCCCTATCCCATAGTGTTCCCCCCTCCCTGTCCCATAGTGTTCTTCCCCCCTCCCTGTCCCATAGTGTTCTTCCCCCCTCCCTGTCCCATGGTGTTCTTCCCACTTCCCCCTCCTATCCATGAGTGTTCAAGCTTCCCCCTCACCCCATGGTGTTCTCCCCCCCTTCACATGAGTGTTCTTCCCCCCCCCCCCCTCCTGTCCCATGGTGGTTTCTTTCCCCCCCTCCTTGTCCCATGGTGTTCTTCCCCACCCTGTCCCATAGTGCTGTCCCCCCACCCTGTCCCATAGTGTTCTTTCCCCACCTGTCCCATAGTGTTCTTTCCCCCACCCTGTCCCATAGTGTTCTTTCCTCCACACCCTGTCCATGGTGTTCTTCCCCACCCTGTCCCATGGTGTTCTTCCCCCACCCTGTCCCATGAGTGTTCTCCCCCACCCTGTCCCTGGTGTTCTCCCCACCCTGTCCCGCCAATTTATTTCCCTCCACACCCTGTCCGAGTGTTTGGCTTCCTCCCCACCCTGTCCCATGGTGGTGGCCTCCCCACCCCCTGTCCCATAGTGTTCTTCCTCCCCGCCCTGTCCATAGTGTTCACCTCCCACCCTGTCCCATAGTGTTCTTCCCTCCCCACCCTGTCATAGTGTTCTTCACTCCCCACTGTCCCATAGTGTCTTCCTCCACCCCTGTCCCATGAGTGTTCTGTTTCCCTCCCCACCCTGTCCATGAGTGTTCTTCCTCCACCTGTCCCATAGTGTTCTTCCTCCCCCACCTGTCCATGGTGTTCTTCCCCTCCCCACCCTGTCCCATAGTGTTCTTCCACCCCCCACTCCTGTCCATAGTGTTTCTTCCCCCACCTGTCCCATGGTGTTCTTCCTCCCCCACCCCTGTCCCATAGTGTTCTTCCTCCCCACCCTGTGCTGGTGTTCTTCCCTCCCCCACCCTGTCCCATAGTGTTCTTCCTCCCCACCCCTGTCCCATGATTTCTTTCCCCATCCTGTCCATAGTGTTCTTTTCCCCCCTCCTGTCCCATGAGTGTTCTTTTCCCCTCCTGTCCCATAGTGTTCTTTTCCCCCTCCCTGTCCCATAGTGTTCTTTTCCCCCTCCCTGTCCCATAGTGTTCTTTTCCCCCTCCCTGTCCCATAGTGTTCTTTTTCCCCCTCCCTGTCCCATAGTGTTCTTTTTCCCCCACACTGTCCCATAGTATTCTTTCCCCCCCTACCCTGTCCCATTTGGGATGGCTTGTGCATTAAATGAGGAGGGGCAATTACATGCATAACAACTCGATTTAATTTTGTGGTGGCTATCTTGAAGGCCACTCATATGTGTTTTTAAATTTTAATCTATACATTTGCAGGTGTTTTGCCAGTTCAATGTATGTAAACACACACTGATGTAATCACTTAGTTTACAAATAATAAATATATATATATATATATATATATATATATATATAATATACACAAACACATGATGTGGTTAATTCAAATTATGTAGCACCAATGCTGTAAATATGCAGCCAAACAATAAACTGTACATAAACAAACACATTCTCATGCAGTGGAAATATACATGCAGTGTAAAAACGTGTAAAAAAAAAAAAAAAAACAGAACACACTACAGTATCTCTATGGTGTGCACCCTTAATAAGTGCTATTAATCATACTTTGATATAGAAGGGTGGCCATACATACAACAATATAAGCCAATGATAGAAGGAAAGCCATGACAGGCCTTGCACCATAACCCAGTGGTGTATTTTGGTTTGGTGCCTCCCTAAGCATGACTAAACCTGGGCAACCCCCCTAATCTAATTTTGCCCCACTCCTACAGGTCAAGGCCACATCTCTTCCTGATTAAGAATCCATCCCTTCCTCTTTAGACTCTACTATGTCCTACTCCTTTTAAAGGGATACTATAGTGCCAGTAAAGATTTCCTGGCACTATAGTTCCCTCTAATGTCACCCTCCCTCTTGCCCTCACCCCTTACTCAGCACTGAAGGTTAAAACTCCTTCAGTCACTTAGCTGAATCCAGCGTCGATGTCCCTCAGCGCTGGGTCGGGCTCCTCCACCGCGCTTGCATTAGGCTTCCCCATAGGAAAGCATTGTATCAGTTCTTTCCTATGGGGATTTATCAGATGCTGGATTTCCGAAAACACAGAGTGAAGAAGTCCAGCATCAATTAAGCGACTTTTGGTCGCCTAACCATCCGGAAGGAGTTAACCCCTCAAGGTAATTATTGCAGTTTCTGAGATCACAGCTCCCTCGCCGCCTGTGATTCTCACACAGCCGTAGGCCTGGGGGGGGGGAGGGTACATTAAGGTGCCCAGCAGGCCTGCCCTTGGCCCTTCACATAATTTACTTAAACAAAACTAAAATAAACAAAATATGTGTTTCAAAAGGAAAGAATGTTAAACCTAGCTGCAAACTATTACCTCAACCTTTGTTAAAATACTTCACAAAATAGCATCTAGTATAGTCAAAATATTAGAATAACCATTTCATTTAACTGTGGTTGAAGTGTTCCTTCACCCCTGTAAATACTTTTCTAGCATTTACTGGATTGAACTAAGCAGTGAGGGTAATTTATCTACACTGCACTTTTCTGGTTTCCTCTTTCCTCTACCAGTTTAAATATTTGCATTCTTTGCCTTGTGTAGAAAATGTACTAATTAAAAAAACGGAAGAATTTTTTTTTTAAAAATAGCATAATTTATAGAAAATGTTTTGTTAACCCTTAGCTGTTAGAATATATTAAAATCAAGGAAGTGGTCCTCTTTAAAATGGGCCATCCACTTAGAAAAAACTCAATAGAGCGTAGAACCAACATTTATTTAAACAGTTACAGAGTTTTAATTTTAAACTCATTCTGCGAATATGTAAAAAGTTTGGGAATCCAGCTGTCTATGTTTTAAGGTGAACAATTATAAAACATTCACAGATATCCCAATTTTCCAAACTAACTGAGAATCGTCTAGAAATGTAAAGATCTTTCATCTGTGTGTTACTTTAAAACACAAACATGGTTTAACTAGTTAATGTCCTGAAGCTAGCAACAGAACTGCTGTCATTTCCATGTGAACCTCAGTGTTACTGTTGAATTCTTCAGCAAAGTCATAGGTTTATCAGAAAAGTACTCATCAGTTAGAGGAAAAAAAACTAGCCTTGCCTGTTTCATTTTCTTAACGGGTCTCTATTGCTTTGAATGCCACCACGATTCTTGTCCTAGTTTATTTGCTTATCAAATTTCGTCTCCTGCTTGAGTTTCAGTATTCAATAAGATCTTTTTCGGACTAGCCAAAATTTAGGCCAGATTCTTCCACTTAGCATAAGAATAAATTTAGTTGATAAATATGAAAATAAAATACATTTCTAATCTCTTTCCTATAATAATATTTCGATTTTATTCATTAGTTTATTATTTTTTTCTTCTCTGGTATGTTTTTAAATCATATTTAAAAATGACATTCCACAGACTGATAGTTTGTTGTTTTTGGAGAATGTTATGAATGGGAAGCCATTGATCCCACTGGCACATACAACAATCGCATATAGTGGACAATCGCATGTAACTGACCTAAAAATATATATTTGTAGTTTTGTTTGTTCTTAGTTTAACTTGGTTAGATATTCAACTATAGTGAATGAGTTTGCCAAAATAAAATGAATGTTCGGAAAAAAATCAATATCAAGTAGCATGTTTGGGTAAACGGTGTGTCCTATGCTGTCATAATTTAACAGGAAATGTAACTCTTACAGCTTGTAAAATTGTATAAAAAGTATTGTCATACAACAATTATAGAATAGCAGTTGACGGTGAGTTTTTTTCCCGATTCATGCTTCAAAACCATTTAGTAAATGCCAGTCGAAACAATATTTATTAATTTGGATCTGACAGCCCTTAAGACAAGAAGAATGTGTGAAATGATTTGGAATATAGTAAAAGACCCAAAGGGGATGTTTAGGTTATAGTTCTAAAAGAGGAAAAATCATTAGGAATATTACACTGGTTTCCATGGTTATTGTTCCACTTTTATAACTTTGCACCAGAATTTTTTTTTTTTTATGTAGAACTGCCAATCAATATCCCGTCTCACCCATGAAAAATATCCATGGTGATAGAAATAGAACGTTAAGGATAAAGAAGGCCTTTAGGAGACTTAAAGCATCACTGTCACTTTACCCCACAATCATTTAGTCAAATTAATCCCACAGAAAGGCAAACTGCAGACTCCATGGATAGAAGAGACAACAATGGAATCATCATATGCAAGGTAGAAAAGATAATAAATATAAATAAGGTAAATAGCAAGGAGGCAGTACAAGGGGCATAAGGAAGGAAAAACCTAAAAGAAAAGAAAAATGCAATTAATGCTTTAAGTACTTATAAAATGTATAGAGACTTTGGGATAGATGGTTAACATAACACATGGAGAACACAAATACCCTCATATAATGCTTAAAGGGTTACTCTACGAACCTTGGCCACTTCAGTGATTTGATTAGGCTGGGAGAGAATTGGGTCTTGGCGCTGGAACAGAGGTGTGTTTTTAGCTATTTCCTTTTTTTTTTTTTTTTTTTTAAACAAATTTTTTTTGATTGGATGATTTATTTCTCACTTGGCACAAACACTGCCACAGACAGCCATACATAAGACCATCTATATAGTTCTGCAAGATCTGCTTTTGTAACTACCTTCCCCTCACCCAGTGGTGTATCCTGGTTTTGTGCTGCCCTAGGCAGGATTTCTGGATTTCTCTGCATACCAGTAAAGACTAAGAATATAAAAGAATATATAGTTAAATAACTTCTCATCTACACATTTCCTAGTCGTTAGCATATGCACCATGTATAGATTACATTTTATTTTCTAAGTCATGTTTGACATCACAAGTACATTATAACATACACTGGCAATTATAACATACACTGGCAATGAAAACAACGTAAACAGTACCACTGTAAAGAGATATATGCTATCAGCATAGATGCAAAGTCTACAAATATATCCTTCACCAGCCTCCTCACTCTCAGATTATATGATGACTTCTCACATTCTCCAGCATTGCTAAAATTCAAAGTTCATTTCAAAATTTAATCTAAAATAGCAAAATTCAGTTCTGTTTCCAGTTCAGGCTACTTTGGCCTTAAAGAAACACTATAGGGTCAGGAATACAAATGTATTCCTGACCCTATAGTGTTAAAACCACCATTTAGGTGGCTTGTCCCCCCTTAGCCACCTTAAAAGGTAATGCAACTTACCTTTGTTTCCAGCGCCCCGATCCGCCTCCTTGCTGACATCATCAGAATTTATGATTTAAGCCAATCCAATGATAGGGAAAGCATTTAATAGGCTGAAATCGGAAAGGAGAAGGGGTGGGGGCAGTGCCAAACACCAGTGTGGCCAGTCAGCACCTCCTCATTGAACCAATGCATATCTCTGAGGAAAAGTTCTGTGTCTCCATGGGGGCAAAGTAAACACTGCATTTTCTCTGAAAAAGGTAGTATTTACTTGAAAATGCATCCAGGGACTGTTTATACTCACCAGAAAAACTACATTAAGCTGTAGTTGGTCTGGTGACTACAGTGTCCCTTTTAACTTGAAAATCACTTTGAATGCACAACAGATCTCACTTTAACCCCTTAAGACCGGAGGGCGTACTATTACGCCCTATTCTAAGCGGCTCTAAACGCCGCCGGGTGTAATAGTACGCCCTCCGGTCTTTTCCTACTAACCCGGTCGCCGGCGATCCCACGCCGGTGATCGCGGTTCGGGGGACTCCCAGGGATCCCCCTGCGGCACGTCCAACGTCCTGGAAGCCCCCCGGCCATGTGAGAGTGGGGTCCTTGCGAGGACCCCACAATCACATGGCCAGGGGTAGCTGGCTGCAGCATTGCCAGCAGGGGGACTGCCTGTAATGACAGGTGGTCCCCCTACTGGCTGAAAATAAAATTAAATAAAATTAATAGTGTAAAAAATAATAATATATACTTCGATTATTTATATTTATATATATACACACACACACACACACGTACACTGTCTAGGTGTATTTTACTTTTAATATATATATCTCAAATTACATGTAGACTGATACTGATTTAAATATATATAATTATTGTTATATATATATATATATATATATATATATATTTATATATAATATAAAAAAATAAAAATGTAAATACGTTAAAAAATAAAATTAAAAAATAATTAAAAATAAATAAAAAATATATAGATGTGTTATTTCGTTCTAACTGTATTGTGAAATTTATAAAAAAAAAAATATATATATATATATATCTCAAAATACACGTAGAACGAAATAATATATATATCTATATACATAAATATATACGTAAATATCACTATATATATATATATATATATATATACCTATATATATAAATAAAAATATTTAAAAAAAATTATATAGATATATACATATATTAATTCTACATATATATTTATGTAATATTTTTACATAATTAGGTATCTTAATTAATTACAATTAGCGGGACTTGCCTGACAACCCATGCCGAAAGTAAAGGGAATTTAATTGGCTAGCACTATATTTAAGCCTATAACTTTCCAAGACACCATAAAACCTGTACATGGGGGGTACTGTTCTACTCGGGAGACTTTGCTGAACACAAATATTAGTGTTTCAAAACAGTAAAATGTATTACAACGATGATATCGCCAGTAAAAGTGACTTTTTTTGCATTTTTCACGCACAAACAGCACTTACACGGACGATATTATTGCTGCGATACTTTTTACTGTTTTGAAACACAAATATTTGTGTTCAGCTAAGTCTCCTGAGTACAACAGTACCCCTCATGTACAGGTTTTATGGTGTTTTCAAAAGCTACAGCGTCAAATATAAGGCTTGTGTTTCATTTTTTTCACATTAAAATTCGCCAGATAGGTTACGTTGCCTTTGAGACCCTATGGTAGCCTAAGAATGAAAATTACCCCTATGATGGCATACCATTTGCAATAGTAGACAACCCAAGGTATTGCAAATGGGGTATGTCCAGTCTTTTTAGTAGCCACTTAGTCACAAACACTGGCCAAAATTGGCGTTTTTTGCATTTTTCACACACAAACAAATACTAACGCTAACTTTGGCCAGTATTTGTGACCAAATGGCTACTAAAAAAGACTGGACATACCCCATTTGCAATACCATGGGTTGTCTACTATTGCAAATGGTATGCCATTATGGGTGTAAATTTCATTCCCGGGCTACTATACAGTCTCAAAGGCAACGTAACCAATCTGGCGAATTTCAATTTCAAATGTAACGTGCTATATTTGACCCTGTAACTTCCCAAAACGCCATAAAACCTGTACATAGGGGATACTGTCTTACACGTGAAACTTTACTGAATACAAATATGTGTATTTTATTGCAGTAAAAGCAAACGGTATTATGACACTGACAGTTAAAATGTAATGTAGAACTAAAAAAATAAAAAAAATCGTATTTTCTCCCATTTTTTCATATTAAATTATGTTTCATAGCTAAATATTTGATATTAAATGAAAGCCCTGTTTCCCCTGAATAAAATGATATATAATAAGGGTGGGTGCATTTACTATGAAAGAGGTGAATTACGGTTGGACAGACATGTAGCGCAAATACCAGGTTTTGTTTACATTTTGTTTTGTTCACAACGTGTACATTTGGCTACGTCCTTAAGGGGTTAATGAATAACCCTGTGAGTACTTTGGGATCCGGCATCTTTATGGGGCAAGGGCTATCTATCTGTTTATCCACTCCTTCAACCTATGATGTGATTTTTACCAGCACAATGTATAGATTAGATAGATACCTGCCTGAAGGTGACATTGTCATCTCCATGTTATCAGAGTCACAGGTCCGCTTGAGCATGTTAATATATAAAGTACAGCATCCTTTTTATTTGAGCCTGCACCATACAGCATTAGTCATATGCGTGCAGATTTCTACTTACATCAAAACAGCAAAGCTCAGACAGCAGTAAGATTCTAAGTCAACGACGACCTTGTGTATAATTGATGTAAGATAATTGCTCATACAGCACTTCAAGTCTTGGTAATATTTAACCTTGGCCACGCTTTGCAAAGCTCATATGCTATAGTTTTAAACATCATTACACATTCCCTTACACTTCCATCTGCCCTTCAAGGCTGTCTGAAGTTCTTGCCAGTTTAATATTTATCTCAACAGGGATGCCACCTTAAGAAAGGAGATTGATACGTAAGTCTGAGATGATGCCAAATTAACAGACTGCAATGCAGTTGGTTGTCTTCAAATTCCTCTGCAACAGATGGGAGGACAAAGTATTCAAATCCACCCAAATGTAATAAAGGAATTAATCAAAGTCTTCACGATGATTCCAGAAATGTTGTTTTGTACGAGGGTGAAATACCTATGCATAGCTCCTGTCACCCTGAACAAACAAAGTATTTCAGTGTTTTATTTAATCAGAAAGTGTTTTTACCAGGGGGGAATTGACATTCTTCTAGTTTTCAAGTATTTTTGGAGAATACTAACAAGTCTATTTAGTCTCAGTGTTACATTTCAAAATTAAAACCAGAATTAATAATCATTTTCAGTGGATATACATTTGGTTTGGCAGATATTTTAAGCGGTTTCAAACTTGTGGAGCATTTGATTTTTTTTTTTGGAAGGTTATTGCACAGTTGTTAAACTCTCTTTGAGGAAACAATTTTACATCTGTTTTACAAATGTGAGTACATTTAAAGCACTGTGCTCATGTTCCTCTTTACAGCTGTTTCCTTGCTGTAAAGAGGAATATGAGTACAGTGCTTTAAATGTACTCCCCAGGGAGAAGATAGCTCCCATTTGTAATGTATTTTATAGATAATGCGTTAACAGATATGCAGTAAACTTTATACATAAATAAAATATGTTTGAAATTCCCAAGTAATTACAGCTTCCTGCAGTGAACTCTACCTAGAGTAGAAAGAAGGTGATATCTTTTAGCCAATTCTAGACATCTGTTTATGTTCAAAGGATTGCTAGGCAAAACTTCTGTACATGGATTCTCCAGTGCCAGGATAACATATTAGTTTTCCTGGCACTGCAGGACCCTGTAGTGCCCCTCTCCCTCCAACCCCCCATCCCAAGTTGCTGAAGGGGTTATAACCCCTTCAGTCACTTACTGGAGACCAGCGCCGATGTCCTTCTTTCCTATGGGGATTTCGGCGACGCTGGAGGTCCCCACATAGCGTGAGGACGTCCAGCGTCGTTTTACTAGAGGAGGACTCAATCCTGCATAAATATTGCAGTTTATGAAAACTGCAATAATTTCACTTGCAGGGTTAAGGGTAGTGGGAGTTGGCACCCAGACCAGTACAATGGGCAGAAGTAGTCTGGGTGCCTGGAGTGTCCCTTTAATGAAACTGATGTGCTGCTCTCAAAACAGTTTGGTTTTGCTAACGGCTCCCAAACAAAGGCTTCTCAGTGAGCGGCTTTTTAATGGAGTATTTCACAACAAAAACTGAAAGTATGTGCCAGGGGAAAAGGGGAGGGCTTGCAAAGGCTGCAGACAGGAGGTCTGCAACTTTTACTAGCTGTTTTTTTTTTTTTTCATGTAACCCTAAAGAAAACATGCAGGAAAAAAAAATATAAGCATGTTATGTTTGTGGCAGGGCTGGACTGAGAAAAAAAAATCGGCCCCAGGCATTTTTTATCACAGCGGCCCACCAAGAAGGGGGTGGCAGAGAGGGTGAACTCTACCTCATCACTAATGACAAACACGCCCCCTCTCAAAGTGAGCTTGTTGGTTCATGGCAGAGCTCTGCCGAAGAGCTCTAGCATGAGAAAAAAGCCCTGTATTTGTTCTGCACAACACAAGCAGATTTAATAACATGCTTGCACCTTGTTTCCTTGATAGATACCAGGAGACAAAAATGCCAGGAAAGAGTATTGTATATGTGTTTTGGAGTCTGCTTGTGGTATTGCGTGTGTGTAGAGTGAGCTGATTGTGGTGTGGTTTTGTGTAATAAGGTCGGTTTTAGTTGTGTTGTGTTTGTGGTGTAATGTAATGCATATGTGGCTAGGGGCTGTAGAGAATGTGTGTATAGGGGATGTAGCAAGTGTGTGCATACAGGCTGTGTGTGTGTATAGGCGATGTGTTTGTAGAGAATGTGTGTTTAGGGGTGCAGTATGTGTTTGCTTACAAGGAATCTAGTGTGTGAATAGGGGATCCAGAGTGTGTATGTTAAGAGTGTAGTGTGTGTGTATAAATATGTTTGGAAGTATTGTGTATGTGTGTGGTGCAGTGTGTCGGAGGGTTCTGTGTGTATGTGAGGGGTGCAGTATGTGTGTGTGATGGGTGTGGTGTGTGTGTGAGGGTGGTGTGTGTGTGTGTGTGACAGTGCTGTGGTGCTGTGTCGGAGGGTGCTCTCCCCACCGGCCCGTCATTGAAAACAGCGGGGCCGGCGCTCGGATAGTGCCGGCCCTGCATAGAGCGGCAGGGGAGATCCTGTGATCTCCCCTGCCGGCCTTGGCCCATGGCCACCGCGGCCCACCGGGCATTTGCCCGATGGCCAGTCCGGGCCTGGTTTGTGGGTATATCTACTAACTTGTTTAAAAAAATATATATATATATAAAAATGTTATAGTGGAGTTTCTTTAGATACACATGCTTGCAGTGGTGTTTCTAGGTGGAATAAAACAATGGTGTAAGCCCAACGGCAAATTTCATAGTGCTTCCCATGTGTAATAACACTGACACCAAATCTTTGAATGAACTATCAGTTTTATATACCTTACTTTCTTTATATATACACCTGCTGTTCAAACCCCAAGCTACAATGTGTTGTCTAATCCAGTTTCATTATACCTGTCACTCGCAGCACCAGGCACAGAAATGATGTCTCTTCTGTGCTCTGCTGCACACACACACATCTCTAGCTTCCTGGAGCCTCATTTTGACATCATATATGACATGGAACCCTTCCATTGGTCTTCCTTTGTTATGTCAGTATATGTGGCGATTTTTATCACGTATACATACTTGTGATATCATTACATAGTTACATAGTTACATAGCTGAAAAGAGACTTGCGTCCATCAAGTTCAGCCTTCCTCACATTTTGTTTTTTGCTGTTGATCCAAAAGAAGGCAAAAAAAACAGTTTGAAGCACAATTTTGCAACAAGCTAGGAAAAAAAATTCATTCTTGACCCCAGAATGGCAGTCAGATTTATCCTTGGATCAAGCAGTTATTACCCTACATTGAAAGATTATATTCTTGAATATTCTGTTTTTGTAAGTATGCATCTAGTAACTGTTTGAACATCTGTATGGACTCTGATAAAACCACTTCTTCAGGCAGAGAGTTCCACATCCTTATTGTTCTTACAGTAAAAAAAACCTTTCCTTTGCCTTAGACGAAATCTTCTTTCTTCTAGTCTAAACGCATGACCTCATGTCCTATGTAAAGTCCGGTTTGTGAATAGATTTCCACACAATGGTTTTCTGTAACCAATCACAACCCAGTATAAGGTATATATACTTCCTGCTTGTCCTTGTTTCCTTGCCCTGTGGTGGCTCAGGTGGCAGCCCTGTCCTGTTTCCTCTTCTGCTTTTGCTATTCACCTCACTTCTCCTCTGTGTTACAGTGGGGATCCAGCTCTGTGCAGAGGGTTCATTAATCAAGACACTTCCACAGACCTTTCCTTCTGACAGAGCCAAGATTGACTTTATCATGAATTTACTGGAATGGAAGGCTCTGGCATGGATCAATCCTTTATGGGAATGGGATGATCCACTTACTTTTAATTTTTCCAGTTTCATGGCGACATTTAAGCATATATTTAGTCCTCCCGGCAGAGCCAGGAATTCTGGTAGGAAACCTATGAGAGCTAAACAAGGCTTTAGGTCAATAGCAGAGTATGCTATAGAATTCTGTACTCTGGCTTCTCAGAGCAATTGGACCAACAGTGTGTTGGTCTGTACATTTGAGGTCACTGCAAGGTACTTTCCATAGGGCTTAGAAGATCTCTATCACGTTCATGTCTGACATAGATAATAGATTACGTGAGAGAAATGCCACTAAAGAAAATGTACACATGCCGATGCTTAAATTGGACTCTAAAATAGTATATGCCAACCTCCTACCTCGCTGGCTGGGTACCAGGAGCGAGTCACCTATACCTCATCCCTTTGCTGTATGAGAACCACATCGACGTAAAACATATGACAAACTATAGTATCTTATGGTAGCAACCCCTTATAATATTCTGCCTATACAAAAAGTGTTATGCCGCTCAATTGTATCTGCTTGTACTCAATTGTATCTAACTGTATCCAAACGTATTCACAACACATTGTACCATCAACGACCCCCTCCATTCCCCCCCTTTTCTGTTTCTGTACCCTAAACCCTACCTTTATATGAAGAAGAAATAAAGCATTTCAAATGAGAAAAATAAAATTACTTCTGTTTTCTTTTCCAGAACCTTCTACTGAATAACTTTCTGAACTCATGTAATTAGGCCTCACTAAGCTCACAGACGCTTAGAAACCTTTTAGATGTGATCTCTGTATTTCTAATGTGTTTCATACAACCCTTTTGAAACCATTGCTGTGCAACCGGTTTACTTCAATGACTTCTGCTCCTGTTCTGATTGGTGGAGAGGAAGAACACGAGATCCAGAAACTTCCCAGTTTTCTAGGGGTTCCGTCCAGTACTTACTACAGTGGATGGGTTACGGCTCGGAAGAACATTCTTAGGTTCTGGCATCTGATATCCATGCTCCGATCCTTCTTCGTAAATTCCATGCAAGGTTTCTTTCACATCCTTGTCTTAGAGGGAGGTGATCCTGGAGGGGGGGGGGGATAATGTCACAATACCTATCCCTCGCTGCGCCGTGCAATCACACAAATGATGTCTCTTCTGTGCTTTGATGCACACTCATACTTGGCATCCAGGTGCCTCATTGTGACATCATATATGACATGGAACCCTTCCGTTGGTCTCCTTTTATAATGTCAGTCTATGTGGCACTTGATGATGTAAACACACTTATGACATCATAGTACTCTGTAACCAATCACAACCCAGTATAAGGTATATATACTTCCTGCTTGTCCTTGTTTCCTTATCCTGTCGTGGCTCTTGTTGCCTGAGAGTGGGGATGAAAAGAGTCCATCAAGTTCAGTCTTTCTCACATCAGTTTTTGCTGTTAATCCAAAAGAAGGCGAAATTCCAGTTTGAAGCACTTTCCAATTTTGCAACAAACTAGGAAAAAATCCCAGAATTGCAGTCAGATCTCTCCTTTGAACAATAAGCTGTTATTTCACATATTAAAAATTATATCGGTGAATATTAAGTGCTTACAAGTTATCATTAATTTGCTGTTTAAACATCTGTACAAACACTGATAAAACCACCTCTTCAGGCAGAGAATTCCACATACTTGTTGTTACTGTAAAAAAACAACAACTTTATTTTACCTACGACTAAATCTCCTTTCTTCCAGCCTAAATGGGTGACCTTGTGTCCTATGTATAATTCTGTTTATGAATAGCTTTCCAGTGAATGGTTTATTGGAATATATTTGGAATGCTGTTTTTCTAAACTAAATACACATTTCAATTTGTTAATCTTTCTGTTGTTTCTCCTTGTTTCTCTACTTACATATAGTTGTCGTCTTCTCTCACTATTTCAGACTAACTCTCTGAGTGTTCCCTGCCTGTTTGTATACCACTGACAAATTTGTGTTCAAGCTTTTCGCAAAACATCCAAATTCTAGGTCACAAAAAGTCCTACTCACTCCTACCTCCAATCCACAAGGTTCTGACCTTGAAGACAATTTATTTTTATCCACCCCCATTCTTATCCAGTTATGTTGCAAGCCTCCCCCACAAGAGAAGCTACAGAGTTTGTGCCTCCCTAAGTAGCAAAGGCATTCATTTTATTCTTGCCTACCCAGCCACTCTCCACTTTCGAATAGCATGAAGATCCTTTGCTTCAACCCCATCCTTCCTGATTAGAATAATGTTGCTGAAGCATCTCCATCACCTAGGGTTCCAACCAAAAATGTGTGACTTTATTTTGTCACTTCATTCTTGGTGTTTGCCAGTTTTGTATATAGTTGGGACTTTGCAGTCATAGTTTTTATTATGCCACAAAGTCAGTCCTTCTGTTTGCTACCAGAGTACTTTTCCATCTTGAAATGGGACGGGTCGAGGGCCTATGCAACTATTTCATACCATCACTTACTCTGTCTGAAACAATGAGCTGGATAATAGTTCTTCACTAACCGTGCCCTTAACTTTTACATTGGAGCCCCTAACTGGAATGGAGCCAATGCTCCAATCAAGAGGACAACAATCCTTGCCTATCTACAGACCTGACAAACTCATATTACTTTAAGAAGCACATTGGTTGAAAAACTCTACTTCAACCTTTTTAAAGGCTTTGGTCTTCAAGCTTGCATCAGTGCAAATTACAATTACATGTCAAATTGGTGGACAGTATATATCCTTTTAAAAATAGTTATGCAAGATCTCAATGTCCGTAAACACATAAAAATGTACTTATATCGCCACTGGCATTTTAGTGTCACTGTTCTGGAAATGTGATGGTCTCTATAGATAAAGTGCTTGACAAAGACATCTAACATTGTCAGGTCCTCTTGATGGTGGAATAAAGAATGTCTTTTTGAAAGAATAACTCTTAGTTTTGGAATTACTGTTGATGTTGTGACTCAATTTATTTGCGTGCTGTGTTTTGGGTCTATGTACAAAGAGAATCGTATCGGACACATTCTTGCTAGTCTTCTTATTATTACTTCTCGCTCTGTATAGTAGTAAAATATTCTTCTTATTTTTTTAGTGTGGCTTCAATGGTTGCGAGCGTGCTGTCTGTGGAAATAAAGAAAGGAAAGCTCCCACTTTGGCCTGAATGGAATGAGGCAGATATAAATTCTGAGAAGTGGGAAATGGGAAAAGCTGGAAAAGAGAAAGATAAACCTGGAAAAAGCCCAGCACTAGTAAGTTGGATTGAGAAAAGCTCCCACGTGCTCATAGCAATATATTTACAGTGAAATAAATAAAATTGTCTGATAGTAATATCTGTGTATTGGGTAATGGTAACAATATACAATTTATCTGCATACACAGCAAATTGTAGCTAGCAATTGTTATTTTTGATTTACTTATTGTTGCATGAAAAATGGAAGTGATAGCTTAAATAGACAGAATGAATAATAGAATATCAGGCTTGTTGAGTAAGACAAATTATCACTTTGCCAATAGATTTACAAAAAAGATAGGTGCAAATTAAATAAGCTTTGAAGCAGACGCCTTCACATGCAAATTATTAAAAACGATTTTTTTTTAAAGGTTCATACAATGTAATATTTAATATTAGATCAACAACTAGATTGTCACAACAACAATCATTACACAGGCATATAGACAAAGTTATATTAAAGGTATACGCACAAAAGTTATACGTATTCATCAAGCCGCATAGAATTATAACAGCAATCCTGGAATCATGGAAATCGTATACTTCATTAAGTGAGGTATCTTATTGAAGATGAACTTAAAGGGATACTATAAGTGTCAGAAATAAAAAGCTGTATTTCTGGCACTAGCATATAAATTAACTGTACATATATGACCCATATAAAGTAACAATAAGGCATTAATCCTTAACCGCCACGAGTCTTAGAGATTGGGCATCTCTGAGCCTTTTCAGTAACTTTTCACTCCTTGGTCATTTTCCTATACCTTTTCTTCCCCTTTATCTCCATCTCTCTATATAGCTTTATTATTCTTTGTTATGATTAGCCTTATTTGAATATTTTATTTTAATGCCAATTTTACATTGTGAACTTAGATATGATTGATATTGCTAAGAAAACAAACAAAATATTTTAATAAATGATTGGTGATGTATTGTTTAGCAAAGTATCACTTTTTAACAAAATATTCCCTATCAATAATACTGTATCAACCCTACAGCATTTTTTTGAGGATCCTGAAGGAAAGATTGAACTACCATCCCAATTAAAGATTCATTCATGGAAGAGGCCATATGAAGTCTTTACAAACACAGTAAGATATGCTTCTTCTTCCTTATTCTGTTTTCATCAACAAGAGCGCCAGTAGCCGAAATGATTATAGGGAGGACAAAGGTAAAATACAAGGCATATACCTTATGGTCAATTATATCCCTGGAGATAGTTGGAACAAAATCTGTCAGAGAACACTAACTGGCCTAAGCAAGCTCTCTTTTTATTGCACATTTATATAAAAGCAATAAAGGTGCTCTGATAATTGCAGGTTAAAGGACGTTCTTACCATAACCTGTGTACTTCTAAACTGTGGATTTCTGTCTTTGTGAATGCAGTGCTTCTTGCATCTACTCATGAGTTAAATAACAGGTACAGTAACAGACAGCTTTATTTTAATTTCAAAGTGGGAATTCTAGCTAAAGAGAAACATTTGCAAGATATTTACCAGCAATGGCTAATTTTGGCACTGTAGTAATTTTTTTTTTTTTATGCTTAACACAGCTTCTGACATAACGACTCATGTGATTTCTTAATTCAGCTTTGTGATGGGCACATTTGTTTTTTTTTATTGTCCTACCCCCTGACTCTTTTTCTCATCCTAGCCCCCAATGTTTTTTTATTAATCTATGCGCCCCACTTTTTACCTTGTAAATATGCTTAGTTTATGCAATTCCGATCTCATGCATGCCATAAGCAGTGAAACACAGATGCGTCTCATAAGAATGGAGCATAGATAATTATTCTGTGAAGATTTTACTAGACAAAAGAAGTGGAGGTTGATTAAGCTCCACCCTTTGTCATATTTTGTCAAGCAGAGTAAAAATACATCAGGCAACATAGTCTCTACTATGTCTTATGTATTTTAAGAAAAATAGAAGCGAAAGGAAGAATGAACTGGAAGACAGGAAGAAAGGGAATAATCTATTGAAGAGCCTATTTAAGAAAAGTACACTGCTTTAATCAAGCTTTCTACTTTAACATGATTCAAAATAATATATAATAAACAGTCTACCAGCTGGCAGAGTAAAATAGGAAATACACTTTAATAAACATCGGCATTGCTCAGTGAATGAACATGTTTGAAATATAGCCTATGGAGTAAACAAAATGGAGTTGTAACAAGACTTGTATATTTGGTTTCAACGAATTGTGATTCTTCTGAATTTTCTGTGATCAGTGGATCATCTAATATTTCAAAATGAGGGGGACCTACACGATCAGTGTCTGGAATATATATATTTATACTATGAATAAAGATTTTCTTGTTCTCCCTCTTTTTTCCGCTATTGGATATTTTTTCTCACTTGATCTGTGAACCAAATGGTGCAAAAAATGCTACATACAGGGTTACTTACTAGTAAGAATTCCAAGGGAAATTCAAATTTTAGGTGAAAATATTTGAATTGGACAGTACAGCATCAACTGATCAATCTCAGCTATGCTTCCAGTTCATCTACTGTGGCCTGAAATTTGAAATTCTCTTTTGAATTCACTTGGAATTCTCAATTTAGTGAATAACCTTGTTAATATTTATATTTTGCAGTACACTGATTGTCCAATTTTTTTTTTGCATCTTTTTGGTTTGTCTGAATTCTTTTTCCTGAAGCGATCATATAGAGGAAATTCATCTGCATCGAAATTCCATATGAATGAATCCCGAATCACCTCAAACCAGTGGCGTATATACCGGGATCGCAGGGGCCGCAGCTGCGACCGGGCCCAGCCCACCAGGGGGCCCAGCCGCCCTGCGACCCTGTATATACCCACTGTGGCCAGCCTCTTCTTCTGGGGGGCCCAGGAGTTGACCACCTCAGGGCCCCCTGAGGCTGGCCCTGGTATCACCAGGCGGGTAGGCTGGCGGGCACGCGAGGGAGCACTGTACCCTGTGTGCTCCCTCTTCAGCTCCCTCGCGCACCGCACTGATACCGGAGCCGGAAGACGTCATCTTCCAGCTCCTGCATCAGTACGTGGTGCGCGAGGGAGCTGAAGAGGGAGCACACAGGGGACAGTGCTTCCTCGCACGCCAGCCTGCCCGCCCGGTAACCGGCCGCCCAGCAGCACCACTGGACCCCAGGGAATCCCCTCAGCACTCCAAAAGGTAAGGAGGCTGGGGGATTAAATTTAAAAAAAAAACCATGTGTGTGTTTGTGTTAGTGTGTGTGTTAGTGTGTGTGTCTGCTAGTGAGTGTCAGTGAGTGTGTCTGTTATTGAGTGTGTGTCTGCTAGTGAGTGTCAGTGAGTGTGTTACTGTGTGTCTGTTACTAAGTGTGTTTGTGTGTGTCTGTTAGTGAGTCTGTTTGATGTCTGTTAGTGAGTGTGTGTTTGTCAGTGAGAGTGTATGTTTTGTGAGTGTGTATGTATGTCTGTCGCTGAGTGTGTCTCTGTCAGTAAATGTGTGTGTCTGTTAGCTAGTGTGTATGCGTCTGTTCGTGAGAGTGTGTGTCTTCAGCACTTACCTTTCTCCAGCGCCGGACTCCCTTGTCGCTGGGGATCCCTCCGCCTCTCAGCTCCGAATGCGCGGCAAGAGCGGTGCGCGCATTCAAACCGCCCATAGGAAAGCATTACTCAATGGGGGTGTGCATGGATCAATTTTCGCACCGGGGCCCCATGGGTCATGTGTACGCCACTGCCTCAAACAAAATGTATTTTCAGGCAAATCGATTTGGACAAACCAAATGTTTTAACCATGCACAAGTGTACTTGTAATCCATTTAAATTATTATAACAAAGGTTATAGTATTGATAACGTTTACTACTTGAACCAAGTGATAATAGTGTACTAAAGTATCAAAAGCAATTTCAATACTGTTCTTTCTCAGACTTTCTTCTCTGATGAAGTTCTACTCTGTTTTACCAAAATGTTTCTGCTCTCTGTGACTCAGTACCAGTGTAGATTGTAATCTATTTTCCAACGACTTAGAATGTTTGTGCAAATACATCAATGCATATTTACTTTATTCCATGCACCATTAACCGTAATAATAATAATAATAATGATGGCTTCCATCGCTGTCAAATTCCTAGCATGGCTGTCTTTGAAGTGGATCTGACAAACTTAGAGGATGTGGGTGGTATCCTCAATCACACTTGGTTTTTCTTTCTTTTAGAAAGAAAATAATGGCATTCAATCTTCATTGTAATTTCACAAGGCATACTGTGTTATTACCATTAGAGGTGTCCTGCAAATCACTTCACCTTTTTTGATGAATGAAATGCATGGTCTCCCCATTCATGTTATAATATAAATTGTTATTGCGTAGTTCACAGCTTGAAAACGTACAGCATTGTCAAGAAAAAAACATTCAAAATCCCATTTTGTTGTTCATTTGACAGAGGATCAGAAAATTGGAACACATATGTGAAACCCAGTCTTGGCAAGGGAGATCTATAAGCGGCGTAGATTCTCCACACAATTAGAAGATATTCTGTAAAAAATATGAGAGTGTGTCCCAACACCTCCCATGGTTTATCTCCATCTCCCACTCCGCTTCTCCCTCCTGATGCAGAACCGGTGCATGCCTCCTGGGGTTTCCCGAATCACCTCAAACCAGTGGCGTATATACCGGGATCGCAGGGGCCGCAGCTGCGACCGGGCCCAGCCCACCAGGGGGCCCAGCCGCCCTGCGACCCTGTATATACCCACTGTGGCCAGCCTCTTCTTCTGGGGGGCCCAGGAGTTGACCACCTCAGGGCCCCCTGAGGCTGGCCCTGGTATCACCAGGCGGGTAGGCTGGCGGGCACGCGAGGGAGCACTGTACCCTGTGTGCTCCCTCTTCAGCTCCCTCGCGCACCGCACTGATACCGGAGCCGGAAGACGTCATCTTCCAGCTCCTGCATCAGTACGTGGTGCGCGAGGGAGCTGAAGAGGGAGCACACAGGGGACAGTGCTTCCTCGCACGCCAGCCTGCCCGCCCGGTAACCGGCCGCCCAGCAGCACCACTGGACCCCAGGGAATCCCCTCAGCACTCCAAAAGGTAAGGAGGCTGGGGGATTAAATTTAAAAAAAAAACCATGTGTGTGTTTGTGTTAGTGTGTGTGTTAGTGTGTGTGTCTGCTAGTGAGTGTCAGTGAGTGTGTCTGTTATTGAGTGTGTGTCTGCTAGTGAGTGTCAGTGAGTGTGTTACTGTGTGTCTGTTACTAAGTGTGTTTGTGTGTGTCTGTTAGTGAGTCTGATGTCTGTTAGTGAGTGTGTGTTTGTCAGTGAGAGTGTATGTTTTGTGAGTGTGTATGTATGTCTGTCGCTGAGTGTGTCTCTGTCAGTAAATGTGTGTGTCTGTTAGCTAGTGTGTATGCGTCTGTTCGTGAGAGTGTGTGTCTTCAGCACTTACCTTTCTCCAGCGCCGGACTCCCTTGTCGCTGGGGATCCCTCCGCCTCTCAGCTCCGAATGCGCGGCAAGAGCGGTGCGCGCATTCAAACCGCCCATAGGAAAGCATTACTCAATGGGGGTGTGCATGGATCAATTTTCGCACCGGGGCCCCATGGGTCATGTGTACGCCACTGCCTCAAACAAAATGTATTTTCAGGCAAATCGATTTGGACAAACCAAATGTTTTAACCATGCACAAGTGTACTTGTAATCCATTTAAATTATTATAACAAAGGTTATAGTATTGATAACGTTTACTACTTGAACCAAGTGATAATAGTGTACTAAAGTATCAAAAGCAATTTCAATACTGTTCTTTCTCAGACTTTCTTCTCTGATGAAGTTCTACTCTGTTTTACCAAAATGTTTCTGCTCTCTGTGACTCAGTACCAGTGTAGATTGTAATCTATTTTCCAACGACTTAGAATGTTTGTGCAAATACATCAATGCATATTTACTTTATTCCATGCACCATTAACCGTAATAATAATAATAATAATAATGATGGCTTCCATCGCTGTCAAATTCCTAGCATGGCTGTCTTTGAAGTGGATCTGACAAACTTAGAGGATGTGGGTGGTATCCTCAATCACACTTGGTTTTTCTTTCTTTTAGAAAGAAAATAATGGCATTCAATCTTCATTGTAATTTCACAAGGCATACTGTGTTATTACCATTAGAGGTGTCCTGCAAATCACTTCACCTTTTTTGATGAATGAAATGCATGGTCTCCCCATTCATGTTATAATATAAATTGTTATTGCGTAGTTCACAGCTTGAAAACGTACAGCATTGTCAAGAAAAAAACATTCAAAATCCCATTTTGTTGTTCATTTGACAGAGGATCAGAAAATTGGAACACATATGTGAAACCCAGTCTTGGCAAGGGAGATCTATAAGCGGCGTAGATTCTCCACACAATTAGAAGATATTCTGTAAAAAATATGAGAGTGTGTCCCAACACCTCCCATGGTTTATCTCCATCTCCCACTCCGCTTCTCCCTCCTGATGCAGAACCGGTGCATGCCTCCTGGGGTTTCGGCACAACTAATTTGAACTGATAGTGAACCTACTTCCCTACTTCAATGGTTGTACTGCAATCTCCTCGAGGCTCGCAAATTGGCAGAGAGGGGCTTCTCCAATTTGATGTGGTGGGTGGAATGGGTCTTGGCGGATTCAGCCTTCCTATGCGTGCGCATGGTGGGAGGACACTCTCCAGGGTGGTGCAAGCAGAGAGAGGTATCAGGAGCACATGGATGACATGGAGAGGGTGTATCCTCTTACACAAATGTAACAGCCTGTCTCCTAGTTCTCAGTGCTCAGTTGTACTGCGCTTACTGTGGTGTTCACTTCAGTGTGCTTATCCTAGTTTAATCAGATTTATCTGGTATCTGACCACCTTCTTGTCCTTTCGTTTGTGAACCTGTGCTGCCTGTCCTAAATTTTTGCTTACTCTGACTACATCTCTATTCATCCTCATTGGTGTATTTCTCCAGCTACCTGCTACATTCTGTGCTCCATCCACTTTTACCATGTAAAACAACTGAGCCTCACTCATGGAGCTCGCTAAAGTAGTAAAGATTCTTAATGTTCTGACACAACAGGTATCCACTCTATCTCAAGCCCTACAAGAACTATAATGTTGTAATTATAGTTGTCCCCAAATCTGGGGACCTGAGGATCACACCATAACCCGCGAACCTCAGGTCCTATTACCAGAATGATTCACATTGTATAGGTCTAACCAGTACCATTTCAGAATTCTATCATCCTCTTTTCCCCTTCATCCTGTGCACTGATGTTTGACCTGAAACCCTGCACCTACCATTTTGATGCTATCAAAGTACATACTGTTATAACGCTCGTTTCTGACTCCCCTTAAGAATGGGCACTACAAATATTTGGTTATGCCTTACAGCATTTGTAATGCTACAGCATCTTTTCAACAGTCCCTCAATAAAACATTCAGAGACCTCCTGGATCAGTATGTCATCTATTTAGACAATATCCTTGTCTTCTCTCCCGAAATCTAAACCCACTGTCTACAGATGACTGAGGTACTGAATGATTATGTGAACATAAACTCTAGAAAAAGATTGAAAAATGCATCTTTGAAACAGATTGTGCGCAGTTTCTAGGTTTTCTCCTCCTCTCTGGCAATGTAGAGATGGATCCTCGTAAGGTAGAATCTTTTTTTAAGTGGCCCGTAGCACAAACCAAAAAACAAGTGCAAAAATTTGTATGTGTAGATAACTTCTACCAACTTGTATGTGTAGTTAACCTCTCGCATAACTTACTAAAAAAGATACGTAGTGCTGGATGCTCCTAACACAGAAAGTGTTTGCTACAATTAAACATCTGTTTAAAGCACCCAACCTTCAACTGCCAGAATCAACAAAACCCTATTTTATGGAGGCTGACACTTCTGATTTTTTCACAGGAGTCATACTATTGCAATGAGATGACAAAACCGGTGCTCTTCATCCCCTTACATTACATTACCATTACAATGTCCTGGAGAAAGAACTGTTATAAAGTTCAAAAATTAGAAGAAATCCTAAAAGCGATTCCTCTATGGCAAGCATGTCAAACTCAAAGTCTGGCATGGACCACAGAAATTTTTTTTTAAGTTTATGTGGGCCACAAAAAAAAAATAAACCTTAAATTTTCATAGAAATGTAGGTTTATTGTAAAAAGTACAGTATAAGAAAAAACAGCACCCCCTCTTCTAAACCATAGCATCCCCCTCGACTAAATCCCAGTCCCCCACCCTCTACCACCCTGTGCCAAATCTGATCCTACCGCTACTTCTTGAAATCCTGTGAAGGTGGAGAACATTGATGTCACGTGGTGTTGCGTGCCTCCATGCACCCCTAGGTACTCCACTGTCCAGTCGCAACCAATGCAACACTGACAAACACACACACTCACTCAGACACACACACATTTACACATTCTTGCACTCACATCATTAAATTTATTGTTTCCTACCTTTGGGAGCTGGTGTGGGTATTTTCTGTCTGGAGATTTCCTTCTTGCTCCTCACTGCTCCCTCGCGCGGTTTAGTGGTGCCGGAATATGACGTCATATTCCGGTGTCGGCTTCACTGCAGAAGGCGCGTGCGAGGGAGCAGTGAGGAGCAGGAACACTGAGCTCCCTCGCTGGCCCTCCTCCCCAGCCGTGTAAGTGTTAGAGTAGGCACCTGCAATGTGGGGAAAGCAGGTGCCTACTCTGCTATAACACCAGGATGTACTCATGGCTTGCCGGGCCGCAAAGATGGCCCTTGTGGGCCGCGAGTGTGACATGCTTGCTCTATGGTATTTAAACAGAATAAATATTTGCTAGTAAGGTAATATGGCTGTTGACACTTCGTATGAAATGGATACAAATTTAACAGCAGGAAATAAATAAAGTATCCAGTGGCTCAATAGACTTTATTCATCATTCATTATAAGGAATTTGGGACTGTGAGCTGAGCTCTACAAGGTTACCATTTTTTAACACTAGGAATACTTTATATCCTTGAGGTCTCATTGACAATGATGAATAAAGTCTAGTGAGCCACTGAATACTTTATTTATTTTCCTGCTGTTAAATTTGTATCTATTTCCTACCAAGTGTCAACAGGCATATTCTCCTTCTATCATAGATTTATTCTGTTTAAATACCAGAGAGTAATCACTTTTAAGATTTCTTCTATTTTTTTTTTTTTACTTTATTGCAGTTCAAAGTGGTCCAGGCCCACGGTGGAACTGGTTCCACCAACACTGACCAATTTTTTTCCTTACTCTGAATTTTTCAGATTCAAGAACTTTTCTTTTTATTTGAAAATAATGTTTAGCCTTTGTGATGGACCGCTTGGCACTCCAGCCGAGTTCCTCCGCCAATCGATGCTCCTAGTGCTCACCGAGGAATTCCAGCACTCTACCAGACACCATAAGCACTGCAGACCCAACGTCCAGCGATGCAGCTGCGCCGGGCCTCGCCGTCCTTCACCCACTCTGGACTCAAGACCAGGATCCAGCTTCAAGTGGGCAGACCTCTCCTACTCCCAGAGAGCGTAGCAGGAACAGCTCTTATAAGAGCTAGTGATTATAATTCCTGGGGAGTATAGTGATCTAGCAATCCCCAGGATACATACAGCCGTTTTCCCTACACATGACATGAGACTCTATGTTGAGGGTAAGCAGGAACAGAATTTTAATGGAGGCACACTGGCCTTTTATGCAAGTTTCCCAACAAGGGTGACACCCAATTGGACCTTGTTGGACACAGGGACACAAAGTGAACAAACCAATAAAAACAGAGTCACACAGTGAGACACTCCCATACACAAACAAAAGAATCCCTGCTCTGTGCTTGGGAGATAATTGAATCAGGAACTGTACTAATCTAACCCAATTATCTCCAAGCACAGAAAAACATACAATTTTATGAAACCCAAAAAGTACCTTGAAAACACATAAAACCCTATAACACACATAATCCACTGATAGCTCCAAACTGGGTGAACAACATATCCAAAAATCACCCAGATCGGTTCAGTGGTTCGGGAATTTCCTGGAAGTCATAGTTTTGACCGACCGTGCCCAAAACAGTTCCAGGGAAATCAGTGCTAACAGTCGGTCAAGTTTGGTAGTCTTTTACAGGTTCCCTGCAGGGCCAATAGTCTGTGGGCAGGAGGCTGGCAAGCAGGCCCCTCCAAGTACAAGTGGTGAGGTTACTTTTGCCACAGCCTTGAAAAGAGCTTTTGAAGAATGGAGACATCTCCTGGAGGGTTCTCATTATCAAATCACCGTTTTACAGACCACATTGCCACACATCTCAACCCACACCAGGCTTGTTGTTCCTTGTTTTTCTCTCGGCTCATCTTTCATGTCACATAACGAATCGGATGCTCTTTTCAAAATGTTTACAGACAATGAACCTAAACCCCAAAAGGAAGGCAGATACTATTCTGCAAAATCATCACTTTTTGAGAATCATCGTGCCTGTCTTGAAAAACATTTGAGCCTCTGTTTCTTCCACTTGCCTATCACTCTCTCTAGACGAATACCCATTATCACTTGATAAAAGTTATGTAAACAAAACTCTTTGTCTCTAAATTCTTTAGCAATTTCATGATGCACCCAGGTCTGGCCATGATGGTTAAAAAAAATAAAAAAAACTCTTTATAACATCCAACTTCTGGTGGCCATCCCTCAAAAAGGATGTCGTTGACTACATTAGCTCCTGTACAAACTGTGCAAGAGCAAAAACCACAACCACAAAACCGTCAGGACAACCCCTGACGATACCATCACGTCCCTGGAGTCATCTCACTGTTGACTTTATTGTCGAATTACCTAATTTTCAATGATATAACACCCTCATGGTTGTGGTTGATATGTTGACCAAAAATTCCCAACAGCAAAACAAACCACCCCTTTTTCATAACAATATCTTCTGGCTACATGGTATTCATGACTCCATTCTCTCTGACTGGAATACACAGTTCACGTTAGACATGTGCAGGGGTGGGGGCCAGGGGGGAGGACATTAGGGACCCCCCCTTATTAGTATTTATGCCCCCCACCCGCCGCTCAGGGGTGGGGGACAGGAGGGAGGACATTAGATTCCCCCCCTTATTAGTATTTAGGGCCCCCACCCGCCGCTCAGGGGTGGGGGCCAGGGGGGAGGACATTAGGTCCCCCCCTTATTAGTATTTAGGGCCCCCACCCACCGCTCAGGGGTGGGGCTGGGGGAGGACAATAGGTCCCCCCCCCCATCATTTTACTTTACGGCCCCCACCCACGTCACGTTTAGGGGCTCGGGAGGGGGGACCCTATTAAAAAAAAAAAAAAAAAAATTTTTAACAGTGAGCAGCCACAGGCTTTATAATAGACATGTCCCTACTCGCGGTATAGCGAGTAGGGGCAAAATTTACTAATACTAAGTAATTTTTACTTAGTATTAGTAAATTTGGCTGAAATTAGGGAGTTATCTACTAAGCGGCTGCAAGAGAAGTGCCTAAGTCCTGAAATTCCGAAGTTTCGAAGTGTTGAATTGCTGAAGTCCCGAATTTCGGAATGCCGAACCGAACCGAAAATTTTCCCCATGCACATGCCTAGTTCACGTCCGAATTCTGGAAAGCCTTTTGTCAGTCACTAAGAATCTCAGTGGACTTGTCTATCGCCTTCCACCCTCAATCCAATGGAAAAACTCAGAGAATCAATCAAACATTAGAAACCTATCTCCGTTGTTATACCACCCACTTCAGTCCGACTGGAAGGACCTTTTGACCACAGCCGAATTTGCCTACACCTACAGAGTACATGACTCAACCAATACCTCCAGTTTCTAACTGACTTATGGATTCCAACCTTCTACACTTCCTGGACTACCCATGCTTACTTTTGTACCCGATGTGACCACTCGCATACAACAGTTAACACACGGCTTTCAACAAGCTCGTAAAATTTTACAGGAGAGTCAAAGCTACGTGAATCATAGCAGATGAACACCTCCAGTTTATCAAGTTGATCAAAAAGTCTGGTAATTAACTAAATATCTGTCTATTCAAAGAATTGTGTACCAAATACAACCGTCCCTTCCATATAAAGAAACTTTAAAAACTTGTTGCGGTTCAACTAGAACTGCCGAGTCAGTATCGTCTCCATCCATCATGCCACGTCTCACTGATCAAGCCTTACAAAGAGAATCCATTTCCTGCCAGCAACCCTCCTCCTCCGGATCCTATTACGCTATCTGATGGCCCTGAATATGAGGTGCAGGACATCTTGGACTCCAGGTTGAGAAGAGGAATACCTTATTCTTTGGAAAGGGTATGGTCCAGAAGAAAGCTCCTAGGAAACTGTGATGAATGTATCCCTGTTTTGTTAAACATTTCCATTTACGTCATCCCTCTCGGCCAGCTCATAGATGTCTCCAAAGAAGACTCTTTAGGGAGGGGATACTGTCAGGTCCCCACCTCCCCCGACTTACTTCGATATCTCACTCTACCTTTGCAGAGCTGTTGACTCGGTGTGTTCCTTCAGGGGGATTCAGCCCAACTCATTAGCGGTGCTACAATTTCTTCACGAACTGGCAGACAGGGGTTTCTCCAGTACAGTGTGGTGAGTGGGCTTGGTCTTGGACAGATTCAGCCTTCCTAGGCATGGCACATCAGGAAGGCACCCTCTTAAGGGGTCAGGGTATCACTAGCAGTTTGATTACACTGTTAAAGCAAATGCTTGCTGAAAATGACAACAGAGTCAAAAGTGATTTAACTCCTAAATGACAGATAATTGCACAGGGTATAGGTAAATAAGGGAGTCAACAATCCTGGTTACTTAAAAGTTATTAGGAGTCATGTTAAATCTCACTTCCTGTTTTGTAAAGTAGTAATTTAATTTAAGAAAATGTGCACTGATATATTGCACATCAGAACATTTTCATATTTATATTTCTCAATTTAAGTTTCTTTAAGGACAATGTATTGTCTTCTCAAATGGCAGTAAATTAAGGGAATTTAAGGCAAATGTAAAACACCAAGTTAGCCTGAGTATTGATATATACATTTCATAATGATTTGTCCTATACTATGAAATGCAACCTTTCATTTAGACGTCTTCACACTTTAGTCAGAAACCTTGAATAAAAAGCTCAATAAAAGAACATCATGCTGCAAACATGTGTCAAACACAAACAGCATACCTATCAAGGAATTGATTGTATTATGTTTTGTAATCCTGTAATTGCCACATCCTGTAAATGTGACTTGAAACACATTGTACCAGAATGAATAACGTAATCAATAAGTAGTTATAGTACCCTAAGCTGCTTTTCAACACATCATCCTGCAATTGGCACAGGTCACGTCAAAAATAAATTCACTGTGCTTGTTTTCAAGTTCTAAAACTACTGATGAAGTTCTATGACAGGAAATCAAATGTCTACAAGACAATACATTTCAATTAGTACAAACTTGCACATTTGTGTTTGTGTGTTAGGGGTCCTCTGTATTTTTTGTGTGTAAATTATTTATTTATTTTAACAAAATTTTTCATTTGATTTAAGAAAATATGATCTGATATATGTGTGTGTATATACAATTCTATGGTTTACATTCCAGGACATAACATCTATTCCTTAGAAGATCTTAAAATTAGGTAAATACTACCTCAGATGAACAACACATGACATATTACAATGTATCATGATTTATTTAACACAAATAAAGCCAAAACAGAGAAGCCATATGTAAAAAACCAAAGTACACCTTATGATTCAGTAGCTTCTAGAACCTCCCTTAGCAGCAATAACTTGAAATAATTCTTTTTTGTATAACTTAATCAGTGTCTCACATCGTTTTGAATGAATTTTGGCCCATTCTTCTTTACAACGTTGCTTCAGTTCGTTGAGGTTTGCTGGCATTCGACACAGCATTTCAATCAGGTTGATATCTGGCCTTTGACTGGGCCATTGCAACACCTTGATTTTTTTTTTTTTTTTCAGCCATTCTGTTGGAGTTTTGACTAATTAACAGAGATATGGAAACATCAGTATATTCACTTCAAGCAACACTTTAAGCACCATAACCAATACAACGTACTATGCATTATGGTGTTATGGTGCCTGATGCCCCTCTAATGTTAGTGATCAAACCGCTTGACATCTTACCTGGTTTCCACTGGGCGCCAGTCCCTGCCTCTGCCACTGTCTGAATCTCTCTTCCTGAGCTAAGCCTGACACAGTTATTGCCTTAGTGATGAGCTGACATTCTTAGCTAATGAGGTGCCCGGCAGAGTTTCTCCGGAGAGCTAACAAAAGGCTCTATCATTAGATATCGGTCTCCAGACAGGGTAGGGAGAGAGAGGGACTGACATCCAGAGTACCCCAGATAAGAAGTCAGTTAGCAAATGGTTTGACCACTTACTTTAGGGAGGTTGCAAGGAGGGGGGCCACTCCAGGCTCCATAACAACTACTGCATGCTGTAGTAGGTATGATGTTTGGATTGTTGCTTTTAATGTGCCTAATAAAATTAGGTGAACCAGTTAGATTTTTGATTCAACCCAGATAGCTGACTCTTATTACTAATAACATTCTTATATCATTTTAGCTTCCTGTGGTTATGAAAGATGAACACTCATGTGATCTGTTTACAGCAAATGAACACCTAATTGGAAGCGAGGTTGGTATAATTTTATTCAGAAATTAACTTTACAATGAGCATAATCTCATTTTAGCAGGATTCTCAATAACCTCTCGTTGCTTGTTAACACTTGTAATAGATTATTTATTAGTTATTTTCTGCTATACTCCCTCATTAAAATTGTAAAGTGCTGTGAACTATACTGGCTCTGCATAAATTTCAATAATAATAATAGTACAATCGCACAAAGTGCATACTTGAAATTTTGAGATTTAGCTCAAGGGAATTCTGGGAAATTGAGAATTTTTAGAGCAAATGTCCAAACTTGGAAAGTTTTACTAAATCCGCAATTTTCCACCGCATAGCCAATAAATTTAATTGGTTTATCACTGAAATAAGCAAGTAAATACTTTTTTTAACCACGCAGACATCAAAGAATTCAGACCTATCATTTATTTTAAAAATTTTAAACCCATTTGTACTTTCTACTAAAAGGTTACTTTCTTATTTTTAGATCATGAGGCGGATAATAAGTGAAGTAAGTGCCGTCTGGAGAATATATAACTCAAAATTGACCAACAAAGAAACATCACTAGATCCACCTACATTGGCTTGGAAGCCCTGGGAACACATATATTCTCTGTGCAAAGCTGTAAAGGGACATATTCCTTTATATAACAATTATGGTAAATATGTCGTCAAGCTATACTGGATGGTAAGTGTGATATGTTTATTCATAATATTGTTACTAACAACAATAACCTTTTTTGGATTGATAACTAATGAAACCAAAATATTAAAAATATAACAACAATCAATTAAAATGCTAAAGCATCTGTTATTCATATCAGAGTCTACTGTTCACATTTAAGTAAAGTCGGTGTTGATACATTGGAGCTCTGTGGAGGAGGTCAACAAGCCACCAATAAAAATCCAGAAGTATAGAGCCACAGGCTACCCAGTGCAGGATGAAGAGTCATGTATATTTTATTGTGGTCCAAAAGACAATACAAAACTCTTTGTTTTGTCTTTTGTACTATAATAAAATATACCTGACTCTTCACCCTGCACCGTGTAGCCTGTGGCTTTATACTTCTGTAAAGTAAAAATTGTTACCATTATGTCATTATGCTCCGTATTATTTGAGGAGAGAAACTACTGAGTCAGCATGCAAATGTATGACCAGATAGAAATTTATTACTGGTAACTGTGATGTACTTTTCTCATAAATTTGAATAGGCGACTGCTATTCAGTTTTCATTAGTATTTGTGATAACACACTTTGTATTATATACAAAATGCACAAATATCAAAAGGGATTTCAGGAAGTCAAGATCTCAAATACTTGTTAAATAAACAGTTCTGAACATTTATAGCCATTTTGCATTATTATAGAAACACAAAAATAGCAGTTAGAAATAAACCCACTAGATCGGGGATCAGCAACCTATGGCATGTGCGCCATACATTGGACTCAAGATGCCTTTTCACAGCACCAAGGCTGCCAGAGCCAAACAGGCTCTAACCTATCAGGAGTTGCAGTGAGACTTCAGATATCTGCTAATGCGAATGGAGTGGTGATTGCAGGTGGTGAGGGACAACCCGTAATTTACGCATTGCAGCAGTTAGAGGAAGGGATATCAGATCACTTCATCACAGCACTTGTAAACGGTAATATGCACTGGAGTAGAGCAGTCCACAGCATCTATCGCATCCAGTGGCGTCACTAGAGGGGGCCATGGCACCCCCCACATCATGCAGTGTCCTCTCTTCCCCCCCTAATTGAAATTGAAGCGGGAGCACTGAGTCTCCCTTCACAAGCTGCAGAAGAAGCACTATCAGTTCCACCACTGATTACCACTTGCCTGATGGGCCCTTTGGACCGGCGGCAGTGCACTGTGAGCACAGGCTGCTTCCTGTTCCCCTCAGAGAGCTTCTGATTTTCACAGGCAGAGGGCAACTGGGATACCAGGTCATGCCCCGGCTTCCACTGCCTGCAGGAAGCAGAGTGCTCTGCTCGGTTGCTGGGGATATAGCACACCCTGCTCCCTGAGCAGGTAAATGGCAGAGAGGAGCCTAGCAACTGAATGGCTGCACTGGGGGTGGCGCTCACCCAGAGTTCCAGCCCCAGACAGCATCAGTGCAGCCCACCAGGAAACCTCCCGGTGGGTGCCCCCCTACAGGTCGGCGCCCGAGGCAATGCCTTATTCGCCTTATTGTAGCGCCGGTGTTCTATCAGTCTGGTATACTCCGTCAGATTGCTATACCCACGTCACTTCCGGGGAGGGGAATCAGCTGTCTCCTGTGCTGCACATGCGTGCTAGCACTCCTGCTACTCCTCCACAGCAAGGTCCTGGAAGGTAAGTAAAACTAGTTTTACACTTTCATTATAGTTAGTGCATTCACTAAGCTTAGGCACACGGGACATTTAGGGTTAAGTGAGGGTACAAATTAGGGTTAGGTAAGTGATTCTAACCTCTCTCACACTCTATTCTTACCCTAACCCTTGGGGTAAGGGTTAAAATAAAGTGTGAGAAATCACTATTTAGTGATATTCCCCTAATGTGAAATATCACTAAATAGGAACAAGTCCCTAATCCTAACCCTAATTTGAACCCTAACATTAACCCTAAATGTCCCATGTCCTAAGCTTAGTGAATGCCTTAACTATAATGAAAGTGTAAAACTAGTTTTACTTACCTTCCAGGACCTTGCTGTGGAGGAGTAGCAGGAGTGCTAGCACGCATGTGCAGCACAGGAGACAGCTGATTCCCCTCCCCGGAAGTGACGTGGGTATAGCAATCTGACGGGGTATACCAAACTGATAGAACACCGGCCCTGTACACACACACACATATATATATAGTCCATTGTATTATCACATTTTTTTTTGGAGAAGATTTGATTTTGTAGAGGCAAATCTTCAACTATGCTTCCATATACTGCCATAGTACTGTTTCTTTAAAACTTTTTGTGCACATGCAGACATTACACTGTAATTTTTTAAGGATATTCTGGATGTGCAGTGTTTGAATTAACCCGTTCAAAGATCACACAAACTGGTCCCTAATTTTTTAAGTTTACTATAGCAGTAGACTAACTGGTCCTTTATGGATTAAAGTGCTTGCAGATTGCATATTATCTAAAACAGTGGTTCCCAAACCTGACCTCAAGGCACCCCTACTAGTCCAGGATTTGGGGATTACCCGGTTGTGTCTAAGGTGTTTTTAGAAAAAAAAAAAAAAACTCCTTAGACACAACTGGGTAATCCCTAAATCCTGGACTGGTAGGGGTGCCTTGAAGACTGGTTTGGGAACTACTGATCTAAAATAAAGCAATAACATAATATTTTTTTGCATTCTCTAGCAGTTTGGCCTGCACAATGTATGGATAAAATATGTTGCCCTATCACACTGAATCTTTAAATATTGAAATTTGAGAACGGTGAAACTTTATTTAATTTATTATATAGTCAAAAGCAAGTTGCATACAAAATGTCAAAACACAAATATATCTCTCACCAAGTAAAAACTAAAGCAAGCTTTACACAGAGATAAAAAGTAAGGATACAACAATCTCCTAAACTTATTTTAACTAATTCTCATCTTGGAAAAATTCCTTTATAAAAGAGAAATAGAGGGTGTTTCTCTACTAAACTGTTAATTATGCTGGGAGTTATAGCTCACCCTAACGCTAAATGCATCAAAGGTCCAGTTTAAAGTTTTTTTTTATACCTCATCATCAGGCATACAAACTGTTAACGGCTAAAACATCTAACTTTTTACTAATGCTGGGTTTGTTTCCAATCTTGTCGCTACTTTATATTGACTAGCTGCTGCTCGCTAAAATGTATGTCACTACTGTTAGCGAGTAGCAGTTTAATCAACTTCAAAACCTTACTGGCTTCAGTAGGGAGCTGCCACTTGCCACTACTTAAAGGGACACTATAGTTACTCAGACCACTAAAACTTATTGAGTCCCACTTAGTCCTGCGATGTAAATCATTGGAGTTTTAGATAAACTGCAATGATTGCATTGCAGGACTAAGACTGCCTCTAGTGGCTGTCAATCAGACAGCCACTAGTGCACTTCCTGTTAGCTAGGAAAAGTTTGGTGGCCTAAATTATGCTGAACATCGCCACGATCTACATGAGGACATCCAGCGTCTGTAAAATCGCCGTAAGAAAGCATTGCAGCAATGCTTTCCTATGGGAGGGTCTAATGCACTTACGGCGCTCACAGCACATGTGCATTAGCCCCCCCTACCGCTTTGGATGATGTCCAAAGGTAACCAGTTGAAAAACAGTCACTGACTAGAGATGAGTGACTTCCCTTAGAGAAAAATGGAAGGCATTAGTCACTACTTACTGACAGGCTGTCAGTAGCTGCAGCCAGTAGTTCCCTCCCTCTTCCTTGTTGGGAAACATGTGCTACTTGAAACCAGTAGAAAATGGCACTGTAATGGGCAGTGGTTGGTCACTAAAAGCAGCAGAAGCATTGGGAATGAGCCCAAGGTTTGAAACAAGCCCTCTTTTTGTATAGCATACATTTTACAATTCAGTTTTCAATTCACCACCCTTATTGGTTTAGTAAATACACCCCCTATGTGTAATCTGTTTGTCTCTGTGTTTACACGCCTGTTTAATTTGTGAATGCTCTGTTTAATAATATAGTTTTTCAGATGTTATATACAAGACAATTAAAAGCCTTTGCAGTTGTTAAGAATTAATATTATGTTTCCACTTCACGTGGCAAAAGATATTTATATAAATGTAGAAATTAAAGCAAGAAAAGTCACAAATAAAGTACATGGGTTACAAAATTAGTACAGACTTTCAGTACCTGTCACCCAGAGTGTTTCTGTGAGGTTTCTAAGCTGCAATCTTTGTGACTTCCCTTCATTTAAGTGTTCAGTAATTTTGCTCGGTCCACAGCTGGGAAACAAGGGGAGTGTTTGTGTAGGAGATATGGATAACTTGTTCTGAATCACTGTTTTTATTCCCGTACAAGGGTTTCATTACTTTTCTTTTTTTGCTTCATTCTCAGGGTTGCTGGCGTAAAATTGTTGTGGATGACACTTTACCATTCAGCGAAGACAACAAATTGTTAGTTCCTGCAACACCCTGTGAAGGAGAATTATGGCCAATGTTATTGTCCAAAGCCATCATTAAACTTGCGAGCGTGGAGTATGTCGATTTTACACCCTATTTATTTTTTTCTTTCGCCCATAGCTTTCAAGTGTATCTTTGTATCATACTGTGATGATAGGATTTACAGTTGAATTATGTTGGTGAATGCAAACATTTTCAAAAGACAAAAATGCAGAAACTATATATATATTTATGTATGTATTTATTAATTTGTGTTATTTGCAAAGTTATGGGTTTGTTTTTACTCCAGTTTTCAAAAAACTTTATATAATATATCTGAATATTAGTGTGATGTTTTTGGGATGTCCTTGGACAGATCCAGACATATGTCCACATGCATAAACAATTCCAGGAGAGGAGAGAAAAAAACAATTTCAGAACGCCGCTGCATTGATGAACTACAGAAAGTAGGTTATATATGCCATAGTCAATAAGACTTGAAATTTGATTGCCTAGCAATTATATGGTACCAATTAATTAATTTCATAATTGCTACTGTGAAATGTAAGGTATTGTTCAACAAGGCATTTATCAAAACTGATTTTACACTAGCAATCATTTTATGCTCAATAAATCAAAAAAGTAGACGGTTCGAAAAAAAACCAACATAATATATATATTGCACACTGTGTAAACGAATTCATTTATATTATATTGTATATCTTTTACCAAAAGTTACTTAAAAGGTCACTCTAAACACCATACCCACTACAGCTCATTATAGTGTGTCATGGGTGTCATCCAGGTAATGTTAACCGTACACAATATCTGTCAAAAGATGTCAATCCTTTTACTACAGTGACAATGGGTGTTAATAAATAACCCTGTTTGACAATAATGTGCAGTACAATATATATTATTTTATTAATGTACTATTTTGCTTATTATGTGTCAGAAAGGAAATATATGAATTATTAGTTGTTGTTTTTTATGGTACGTTTCTACAATACATTTTTTTTTCTTTTTTTTTTTTTTCTTGACAGCCCAAATGGGTTTACAAAAAAAGACATGGGAGAATTTACTGTCATGCATTCTCTAACTGGATGGCTACCAGAGGTCATTCCACTTGAGTAAGTAACAATTTTTATTTTACCTAAAATTCATATCCTGTTTGCAAATTTAAATATACAAACCGTGTGCTTATATAAAAATCATAATGTACAACGTTTACAGCTTACTTAGTTTACAGATTTACTGCCTTTCATATTAATAGCAGCCATTGTCAATAGTCTCTCTCTTCGTCATGTTGGTGTTTCCACTCTAAAGCAGGGGTTCCCAACCTAGTCCTCAAGTGCCCCCTAACAGGCAAGGATTTAGGGATTACCCAGTTGTGTCTATGGTATTTTTAGAAAAAATTTAAATAAATAACCACTTTGGACACAACAGTCCAATCCCTAAATCCTAGACTGGTAGTGGGTACTTAAAGATTGGGTTGGGTAACCTCTGCTCCACTAGGATCTATATTTCTGCCATAAATGTGCAGAAATATAGATCCTAGTGGATGTGTTGTGAATTTTATTGTATGGAAACAGCAGCTGGTTATTAACATTATCAACACTCATATTAGAGATGGTTCTTAGTAAATAATTGTGACAAGCATAAAACAATCTAGAGTTACATATAGTTACATATATATAGTTACATATATAAAAGCTAATAAAAGACTTGCGTCCAGGGCCAGATTAACATTGGGATGAGTGGAACTTTAGCTCCAGGCCCATCATGCTGAGACAGGCCCACACTCAGGGGAGGCTGACCAGTCAGGCACTTCGGTCATGGACTGAGGGCCCATGGCAGTCACAGGCCAGGGTGCTGCAGAAGTTATGGGGCAAATAGTAAGATCAGCTGATCTCCCCAACCAGTCCTGCAATTTTTAAAACTCCTTTGTTAAATGTAGGCAGCTAAAATCTTGTTTGGCTTCAGTGAGTATGGACAGTGGCTGGGATAGAATTTTAGATTCCTATTCCACCACTTGAAACACAGATAGCCGGCTGCACTGGAAGGAGCCTGACAAGATAGCAGGACAAACAAAAGTTTAATGTAAGAAAGGGAGGTTTGTTCAAAAAACTCTGATCTCATGGATATCAAATTATTGCAAACACAACACAAGGTTATCAGAGAATGATAAATAGTAAAGTAGGTAAAACACAGAATAAAAGGTGCTACAATCACCGTGATACACAATGTGTATCACTCCAAACACACAGAAAACAGTGAAATATACAATAAATAGTGGTGAGAGCACACTGTAAATAAAATGTTACCACAAATAGCACATACAATAGATGAATCTAAAAACAGAAAGAAACATACACATAGGGTAATAAATTTAAAACTGGGTAATTAATAAAATCAATGTTGGATCCACTCACATGGTTCTGAGCCACTCCACAAGCTGGCTCAGACTAAAAGCTGAATAGCATAAGGAATGGTGGCTACTTTGGTAAGCAGGGCCGCCATCAGGGCATGACAACCGTGACAATTGTCACGGGCCCTGCGGCCCTGGGGGGCCCGGCCGCCCGGGCCCCACGTGGATCAGCGGAACTGCCGCCGGTGCATCTGCACCGGGGCCCACACGCTGATGGGGCCCATCAGGTGGCCCCAATCATTTAGGGCCACCCAATGGGCCCTATTATCTTCAGGGGCCCGTTTAGCGCTGTAATAGCGCGACCGGGCCCCTTTAAAAAAAAAAAAAAATGCAGCCGGAAGCAAGTGCTGCTGGGAGGAAGTGACGTCCGGTCACTTCCTCCCACTTTACTCCTCGCGGGAAGGAGGATGCAGCCTGAGGAGAGGCAGCCGATGCCCATCATCCCCAGCCACCCTCCTGCGACGAAATGGTAAGAAAGAGAGGAGGGTTGCTGGGGATGAAGTGTATGTATGTATGCCAGTGTGTGTATGCCAGTGTATGTGTGTATGTATGCCAGTGTGTGTATGCCAGTGTATGTGTGTGTGTGTATGCCAGTGTGTGTATGCCAGTGTGTATGCTGGTGTATGAATGCCAGTGTATGTGTGTGTGTATGCCAGTGTCTGAATGCCAGTGTATGTGTGTGTGTATGCCAGTGTCTGAATGCCAGTGTATGAATGCCAGTGTGTGTGTATGCCAGTGTATGAATGCCAGTGTATGTGTATGTATGCCAGTGTGTGTATGCCATTGTGTGTGCCAGTGTATGTGTGTATGTATGCCAGTGTGATGTGTGTGTGTGTATGCCAGTGTGTGTATGCCAGTGTATGTGTATGAATGCCAGTGTATGTGTGTATGAATGCCAGTGTATGTGTGTATGAAAGCCAGTGTATGTGTGTATGTATGCCAGTGTGTGGATGCCAGTGTATGTGTGTATGTATGTATGTATGCCAGTGTGTGTGTATGCCAGTGTGTGTATGCCAGTGCGTGTGTGTATGCCAGTGCATGTGTGTATGTATGCCCATGTATGCCAGTGTATGTGTGTGTGTGTATGCGTGTGTGTATGTATGCCAGTGCGTGTATGCCAGTGTGTGTCTGTATGTATGTATGCCTGTCGGTATGTATGTATATATCAATATGCAGTATGTATATGTATGTTTGTCAGTATGTATGTCTGCTTGTATATGTGTGTGTGTTTCTCAGCATCTCCCTATGCATGTGTGTATGTCTGTTTCAGTATTTGTATCTGTTAGTGTGTGTATTCCTGTGGGCGGGATTTGGAGGCAGGCTTGAAGGGGGGCCCAGACCTTGAGCTGTGTTAGGGGCCCCAAAATTTCTGATGGCAGCCCTGTTGGTAAGGATCTGAATACTCAGCCTTTTTCTTAGGGTGCAGCACCAAAAGAAACCCCAAGTTATTGGATGTAGGTGTGTAAAAGCACCAGAGGCTTTATTAAACAAACTGACAGGATACCTTACAATTAAAATAAAAGATAGTCCACCTCCACATGATGCGTTTCGGCTGGTTTGCCTTTCTCAAAAGTGGTTCCATTGTGAGTGTCTTCATGTTCCTCCTTTTTAAAAAACTGTTTTGGCGCCTTGTTCTGAACGCCCGGTTGTTACTTCCGGGTTCCGGATGCTTACATGTTCAAACGTCCATATCTCTTTTTACGTCTGATGTCGTGCTCGACTAGAGTTCCGGCACTCAAGTTGAAAGCTTGAATTTGTCATTATGAGTTCTATATACATGATCCATACACAGTTAGGAAGTCCGCCATACTTTTGGTGGTATATAAGAGGCATGATACATAGCGATATCAGAAAGTGATAAACTACTTGTGCATAATTTAAAACATATAAATCACAAGAATGAACATTAATATATATATTATACATGTTAAAAATGTCTAATACAAGTAGAACGTTAAAAGGAGTATCAACCTAAGAATAAATCAGATCTCATGGGAGATAAAATTATGAGGAAGAAAAGTAAGAGGAATATTAAACATATATGAAATCATCTTACAAAAATATATTTAAAACATAGCATTTTAATAATAAAAAAATAATTTAAAAATTATTAAATAATTAAAAATATGAATTCAATCTGTGGGGTAATAAGATATTGAGATTAACAATCCATTTCATCTTAGATTTACTATGGAGGCTATCTATATTCCCTCCTCTCCAGTGTGTTTTCATTTTTTAGACTTATCCATTTATGGTGAACACAACCAATTAAAAAGTAAAGCTTTTTTAAAGCAAGTCGACGTTAACAGTTTTATTGATTTTACCAGTTGCCATTTTAGACCATGGTTAACCAACATTCCCAAGGGCCAATTTTTAAGATTGAAACGTAATTCACAACACTATAAAGAACAAGCATTGATTCTTAAAACGCACTTTGTTGCCAAAGGATATGATTCAGAAAAGATACCGAAGGTTTATGAGGAATTTGAAAACAAACCGAGGCAGGAACTTATAAAATATAGAGTCAAACCACAAAAGGATAAAGACAATAAAGAAGAGATCCCACTAACTTTTCATTGTAATGCCAACAGTTTTAATCTACAAAAAAAAAAAAATTAAGAAAAATTGGCATATTCAGGATATTCAGAATTTTATAAGGAGTAAAACCCATTTTATTTTTAGTCTAAGTCTAAATTAAAATAATTTCAACACATAGTTTTTTAGATAAAACTGTAAGGAGAAAAAAAAATTGTGGTTTTTATTATTGTAAGAACTGCAGGGATTTCACTTTAAGATATTTTAAAAAGCATATTAAAAATGATTTTAAAAAAAGACCATTATAACATAAAATATTTTATAACGTGCAATACTAAAAATGTGATTTATATGTCCCTTCGGTGTCCAATATGTTGGAAAAACATCCCGGTCTCTTAAGAGAAGAATTCGAGAACATATTTATAATATTAATAGAAAATGTAATTTACATAGTGTCTCAAAGCATTTTTTAGAAAAACATAATCGAAATCCGCAGGGACTAGATTTTATTGGTATCGAAGCAGTTAAAACACACTAGAGAGAGCCTCCTGACTAAATCTGAGATGAGATGGATTTTTAATCTCAATATCTTATTACCCCACGGTCTGATTTCAGATTTTGAAATCAATTCATGTTTTTAATTATTTAAACATTTTCTGATTATTTAATTATTAAAATGCTATGTTTTAAATATATTTTTGTAAGATGATTTCACATATGTTTAATATACCTCTTTCTTTTCTCCCTAATAATTTTTTCTCCCTTGATTATTTATTTTTAGGTCGATACTCCTTTTAATGTTCTATTTGTATTAGGCATTTTTAACATGTATTATATATATTGATGTTCATTCTTGTGTGATTTATATATTTTAAATTATGCACTAGTAGTTTATCACTTTCCGATATCGCTATATATCATCCTTCTTTATATACCACCAAAAGTATGGCAGACTTCCTAACTGTGTATGGATCATGTGTATAGAACTCATAATACACATAATGAAAAATTCAAGCTTTCAATTTGAGTGCCGGAACTCAAGCTGGGTCCGACGTCAGACGTAAGAAGACATATGGACGTTTGAACACGTAAGTATCGCGAACCCGGAAGTAACGACCAGGCACTCAGAATTAGGCGCCAAAACAGTTTTTTAAAAAGGGGGAACATGAAGATACTCACAACAGAACCACTTTTGAGAAAGGCAAACCAGCCGAAATGCATCAAGTGGAGGTGGACTGTCTATTATTGTAAATGTAAGGTATTCTGTCAGTTTGTTTAATAAAGCCTGTGGTGATTTTACACACCTACATCCAATAACTCGGAGTTTCTTTTGGTGCTGCACCCTAAGAAAAAGGCTAAGCTGTAAACCTGCATATCCATATCCTTACCAAAGTGGTCACCAATCCCTTTGCTATTCAGCTTTTAGTCTGAGCCAGTTGTGGAGTGGCTCAGAACCATGTGAGTGGATCCAACATTGATATTATCAATTACCCAGTTTTAACTTTATTACCCAATGTTTATGTTCCTTTCTGTTTTTAGATTCATCTATTGTATGTGCCATTTGTGGTAACCTGTTATTTACAGTGTACTCTCACCACTATTTATTGTATACAACAGAGGATTATCCCACCCAAAAAATCATTTTTTTTTTTGTTTTTTAATTTGTAATTTTTGGTGTGCGTTATGATAACAGAAGATATACAGTATACACCTAAAAAATAACCATGATATCACATTTCACGTAGAGTATAGTGTATAGACTGGTCAGCACGTTTTTGAAGGGCTATTAAATGAGATTAGAAAAACAGAGTAGTGTAATTAAGACAGCAGAGTAACTTTAACCCCTTAAGGACCAAACTTCTGGAATAAAAGGGAATCATGACATGTCACACAAGTCATGTGTCCTTAAGGGGTTAAGTAACTTTCCAATTGCACAGAGTGGGTTCACATGAGCGATCCCACGAGGCTACCTTCGATACTTAGGTGAAAGTCCCCCATTACATATCTAAATAAGGTTTTCCACCCCCACATCTTGCAGTGTCTGTGCCATTTGGGCTCTGTTTGCTTGAAGGAGTGTGCTGGCAACACCATGGGTATGCGTTTAACAGGTTTGTGTAATTTAGCTTGCTGCTCCCTAGATGCTATTTTCTTCCAAAACTTAGCCTAGAGGTCGTTCAGCTTGGCCATGATATCAGGCTTCTCAACATTTCGAGCACACGTGGCGGTGGCCATTTTGCAGGACTTTGCTTCTTCCAGCTGCTCGCAGAGCTCCATCTTTGGGGCCTTTGCAGATGGTTTGCCTCTCAGGATTGGACCGGGATAACCTCCACCGGTCCGGGGGGAGGAAGAGGAGGGGGAGCAGGGTGTCTGCCCCTCCAAAACGCTTGGGTAAGATATCAGGCTTGTCACCAGGTCACCCCTGATTTAGGTAGTGCACCCCGGTTTGTTTTTTGTCTCGAGTTTGGCGAGTATCTGTAGGAAATCGGCAAGTAAAGCGGGAGCCTAGCTTTCATGCGACTGCTCAGCTTGCTGGCTTGCCCTGCCCCTCTCTCCCCCCAAAATATAAATAAATAGAAAATCTTTGTTAAACATGTATATTGCACAATTATGGCGGCACCCTTTTAGTCAATACTTTGTGCTTCCTCCCCTTTGCCAAGATAACATCTCTGAGTCTTCTCCTATGTAGCCTGATATTTATTGAGAAATGGTTTTAGTATCAAGGAATCAAAGTAGTACATGCACAACTCTAGCAATTTCCTAGCATGAATACTACACTCCATTATTAATCATTATCTACCAAACACATCCTTCCAACTGTAGAGGTGGGGTCACATGTAATATAATATGTGATCTATTACAGTATAGTAAAAAGAGAAGAATATGCTGAATAAATTTAAAAATGTTATCAGTTATATGAATTTTTTTAACATGTTCAGTTGTCCAGTTACATTTTCTTTTTCTCTTACATTAAAGGGATACTATAATAACCAAAACCACTTTGGTTTAATGAAGCAGTTTTTGTGTACAGATCATGCCCTGCTGTCTCATTGCTCAATTCTCTGCCATTTAGGTGTTACTTCACTTTGTTTATACAACCCTAGCCACACCTCCGTGCATGTGACTTCCTAAACATTTCCTGTCAACAGTCTACTAATGTTTTCACTTCCTTTATTGTAAAATCTGTTTCATTTTGAATTTCTTATCTCCTGTTCTGTGAATTGCTTGCTAGATCCTGCAGGTACTTAACTCACAGCAAATTACAGAGCAGGAGATAAAAAACTTTTAAAGTAAGTTGCATCTAATTATTTTGTTTTCATGCAGGCTGTTTCAATCACAGCAAGAGGCTGGCTAGAGCTGTGTAGACAGAAACAAAAGTGATTTAACGATTTAAATAGCAGATAATTGATCAGTGAATCTTCAGAGGCATGATCAATACACAAAAACGGCTTCATTAAGCTAAAGTTGTTTTGGTGACTTTATGACTATAGTGTCCCTTTAACCTCAATAAAATATGCCACAGATGCTAGTTGACTCCCTTTATATATCAGTCTCAGGCAGAAATATGAATGCAGTGTAAGTGTCCCATTTTTTTTCTATACGATTCTCAATAATATATTTCCATATGTTAATCTTATAGAAACAAATGAGCCTTATTTAGCTTTGTAATTCGACTAATAACAAAAACGACTCTGTAGAATAAAAGCGTGGCATTTCATTAACACCTCTCTAAGTATTTTTGTATTTATTGTAATAAACCATACATATATATTTGTAGATTATAACTTAGCTCCTTTACGTACATATACACGTTTTATATAATATTGTAATATTTCTATCTTGTTTCAGCAATGATTATTTAAATGATGTCTGGACTCTCTTGAAAAGGATAGTTCCTGAGTTTCGGTTACCTAGTGATGAAAATCCTGAATCCAAAGGTCCTATAGCACAGGAAAAGCCAAAGGAAAACATGCAAACTGAAGTAAAGGCTGACCTGCAAGTACCTATAATTATTAAACCAGCTGAGAAGACCAACAAAGGTTAGACTATAGGTCTTGTTTGAACCACAAAGGTTGTATTAGTGTTGAGGACGGGAAGGGGCTTCATTTAGAGTCCCTCTACAAAGATTAATTGGATAGAATGAAGTCCTGACATTGACATACTTATAAAGTTCATCGTATTGCACAAGTATGTAGAGTATTGTAGAAGATTTATATTCCTCTTAGTCTTAGTAATTATTATCATATACTCTCAGGAGACCGCTATTTGGATTTTTTGGTGAGAACTATACCAAGCTAACAAATGGGGAATTTTATAATATTATAATGTAATTTTCAGCTTCTTACTTCTCAATTTATTTTACTGATAAGATATTCATTTTTAATGGTTTAAATGTGATTATTTAGGGTAGTTTAATGTATTCTCCAGAAAGGCCTGCGTCTTATTTTTTTTAATTTTGTGATATTTTCCTAGTTTTGTGTTCTTTACAAATTTAGTATGCTTTTACCCTTGGTATTAAGGTAAATTGTGCCAACCTTATTATGTTTCTCAGATTGATCCTAGTCAGATTGTGCAGCAATTAAAATTTGTGTACAGCAGCTACAAATTATCGCGGGGAGTTATTTGAAAAATGAATTTTTGTTTCAGTGCTTTGAGCAGCCCGTGGGTATACTCCAAGAAATCACAATGCTTTCTTGGGGCACATGAAAGCAAAAAAGAAATACATACTGGTTGTTTACCTCTGTTTTACAGAATCTTATTAAAGATAGAATACAATCTGTACAACATACACTGTGAGTCCAGTTTGCAATACACAAGGAAAAATACAATAAATAATATATAGCGTGTAAGAGTGATTATACACAGAAAGTTATATTAACCTGCAAGTGTCTGGAATACTGTGAAACCTAACAAGCAGTGTGTAATAGATAACCAATAGTGATGTCCCGAACGGTTCGCCGAATGGTTTGCGAACGGTTCGCCACGGACTCATCATTGAGTAAACTTTGACCCTGTACCTCACAGTCAGCAGACACATTCCAGCCAATCAGCAGCAGACCCTCCCTCCCAGACCCTTCCACCTCCTGGACAGCATCCATTTTACATTCATTGTGAAGCTGCATTCTTAGTGAGCTGTCCAGGAGGTGAGAGGGTCTGGGAGGGAGGGTCTGCTGCTGATTGGCTGGAATGTGTCTGCTGACTGTGAGGTACAGGGTCAAAGTTTACTCAATGATGAGTCCGTGGTGAACCGTTCGGGACATCACTAATAACCAACATTTACACATATACCAAACTTTAGAGTGGCTGGGTTTAAAGGGTCACTCCAGACCCCTAAAGCACTTTAGATTACTGAAAGGGTTTGTGTGTGAAGAGCTTGTCCACTATTTTTCATTTTGAAAAAATTGCATATTTCAATAGAAATTTACACTTTTATAAATTGACTTGTTTTATTTAAATTAACCCATGCAGTCCTGTTACTTCCTGGTTTGGCTAGCTCAGTGGAGCTAAACTCATAAAGCAGCAACTGTCAAGAGCACCTGTTGACACAGAATGTCTGGGCGGGATTAGAAGGGGAGGGTTTTTAAAGACAGCAGAAAATAGAACTGTAGGTTTTGCAAGCTGTTTTTCGATATACCACCAATGAAAAAAATGCATAATAAAATGTGTGCAAGTTTTCGTTTGGGGTATATCTACTAAACATTTTATTTTGTATTTTGTGTGGAGTGTGAGAACTGGAATAGCGAGGTACAATAACAGAGTCAAGGAGTATAGATAAGAGAACAGTCTTGTTCTCTGTAATGTCACAAGATGAGCAAAAACCAGCTTGAGATCTGAGCGGGGACCCACCGAAGGGCTGGCTATTTCAGCTGCTGCCCGTTCTCAGTATACTCTTACGACCCATTTTTTGCTCTCCGAACAGTCATTAATAGCCAAGATAAAAAACAGAAATACTATGAGAGAAATATAACCTGCTTATTGGCAATCAAAATAGAACTATAACAGGGCAAGGACCCGTGCCATGGCAAACTATTTCTAGTCTGGCACTTTAACATTATAGCCATAACCCCAAAATGTTAGACATAACCAATTTTGGCAGGCCATAACTTCATCAGCGTCATGATGTTGTCACGCATACGCGCTTCTTAAATGAACGGTGCTACAGCAGCCAGTGTTTGTACCGCTGGAGAGAGGAGAGGGATTATGTGGAAGGTCCCCAGCCACTTGTTATTGTCACCCAGGCTGCTGCACCCCATGTAAAAAACAAGGTACCCTGACACCAAGTTGTGCTCGGAGCATAAGAGGAGCCTGACATCTTCAGCAACATGGGATGGGTGGTGGGAGGGAGAGGGAACCTGCAGTGCCGGGAAAACGGTTTGTTTTCCTGGCACTGGAGAGTCCCTTTAATTTCATCTCTGTCAAAAGTACAGCAACGTAATTTTATATTACAGAACTATCACTTCCATCATTTTCTTTTCAGAGTCCCTTATCCTTATTTTTGTTCTGAGAATCTCGCATGCACTTTTTATTTCATTCTCTCCTATCCTCGCCATTTTAAAGTCCCAGTTATCTTACCCTAAGAAACTACATGTACAGGAATTGTCCATCAGTCTAAATTTCACTCAGTCCATTCATTTTAACATGCAAATTGTAGTCTCAATAATAGCTGAAGAAAATTGTTTTGTAGAAAAGCTTCTCAGTCCTGCAGTCACTGCCTTGCTGCATCCCTCAAATTATTAAGTACCCACTGTGCAAAAACATGATTACATGTTTTAGATAATATAATTTTCTAGCCACAATGCTGGAAATGTATATATTCAATTTTATTGTTATAATTACTAGAATTCATGTTCAATTATTTATGCTTTCGGTGTAAAAATACAAATGACAAATATTCCTTCCTCAATAAACAATATCCTGTGCATACTTTTCATCAGATCCACCAAATTCAACATGGCTGCGTGCTTTGCTTTTGGGGGTTTTATCTTAAAGTTTAGTATTCCTAGTAGTATAGCTCCTCTGCCTCCCCCTTCCCTCATGACCCTGCCAATAAAAAGTTAAAAACTCTTTATTTACTTACCTGAACCCAGCACTGATATCCCTTGGCCCTGGGACGATGTTACTGTGTAACACACCAACATGCAGAGTTCAGGACAGCAAGAAACAAAACAATGAAATAACGTATAACTGGGCCTCAGAATGGCCAGACTTAATGTAGACAGAGAAAAAGTGCAGTCAATAGTGAGCCAAGGTCAGGGTAACAGAGAGACAATGAAACTGAGAACTAGCCAGAGTCAGGTACACGGTAATCAGGCAGACAACACAGAAAAGGTTAAACATAAACGCAGAGTCAGTAACAAAGCCCAGGTCAATACCAGAATAAAATGTTGTAGTAGTTTAAGAAACACACTAAAGGGTGCTTGGACAGAAACCACAATAGGGCACAGTGTACAGGGCTAGAGAGATTTAAATACCTTTAAGTTAATTTGATTGGTCCACGTCATGCCTGCACCCCACAAACGTATGTGCATGGGGCCGCCCGAATGACATAGACCAATGAGAGCCTGATACTATCTGGGGATCCCATCACCCCCTTAAGAGCGTGTTCTTAATACTGCAGTACCCATCTTGAAGACATTCCTACCGGGCGGGAAGGAACAGGCTTGCCATAAAATCAGGAGTGGAATGCCCTTAGCAGGTGAGGGGCATGAATATCACATGCGGAAACCAACAGAATCCACCAAGAAACGCTGAACCTGCTCCAAAGTCCTTTGCAAACCAGCTAAATGTTTGTCCTGAACCAGCATTCCCAGCAAAGAGAATGCAGATGGGAGAACAGGATGCCGGCCATCAACAATGTAAAAAAGGACTGTTACCGGAAGACTAGTGAGCAGGATTATTATGAACAAATTGAGCCCAAGGGAGCAGGACAGCCCAATCATTCTGGTGGTGGGAAACAAAACAGCAAAGATATTGCTCTCGGACAAGCATGTCAAACTTGCGGGACTTTGGTACAAAATTGCCCCCCTTCTACCTCTGAGGCATCCTTTTTATGACTGTGCTCCTTACTCAATTTGTATTTGCATTTATTTGGGATTTTCAGGATAGAGCCTTATGTAAGTGAGCACCAAATACCTTGTTCTCACAGAGCTCCATTTGGGGCTAGTTCGCATTTATTATTGGAGTGTGCCTACCTTGCTTTATTTTTACTATCTTTCCAGGTTTAGGCAGAGTTACTATATGGGCCATTAACATCTCTGATGGCATATTTCATTGTTTTATCATGTAATTAAATGTTTGTTCCAAATTTGGCGTTATAACTATAGAAACATTTTAATAATATACATATGTAAACCCGTCTGGGCCTAGTGACTTCCTAAGTGGTAATAATTCTATGGTCTGCTGAATCTCCTGGGCAGAGATCGGAGCACTCACAACTTTTTTATGAGGTTGAATAAGGGATGGCAAATTAGTCCATTTGAGAAATTGGTCAATTTCTTGTAATGACAGAAATGTCTATCATATGAAGGTTGTAGAGTAATTTCTAAGAATTTGCCAGCTCATTATTTATGTCTTGTGGATTTGTCAGTTTTCCACGTGTATTTGTCCTTAAATAAGATATTCTTGTTTTTGCCTCATGTTGCTGTAGTTTAAGGGCTAATACTTTCCCTGTTCTATTGTCCTCAGTGTATTCTCTTATTTTTAATCTTTGAAGTATTTGAATAGTTTTAGAAAAATGTATATCATTAATTAATTTAGTCAGGTGAGCTATATGTCTTTGCTGTTGATCTGAAGAAGCTAAAAGATTAAACATAGTTGTATTCCTAATTCACGCAATAGTTCTATATATTTTTTCCTCTCTGCCCGTTTTACATAAGAAGCCTGGCTTATAAATTAACCCCAAAGCACTGAGTTATGTGCTTGACAAACAACAATTGGAGTGACATCCTCTGTATTATTTACTTTAAAATCATTTTTTAATTCTGTCAAAATTTGATTTTTAAAAGCTTTAAAGGAATCATTAAGTCCCCAGGTTGCCCTTGTCCTCTATATTTACTTTGATCCTTAAGTGCTAATGTTATAGGCGCGTGGTCTGACCACTCTATATTTCCTCTAACGCTTTGTGTAACTAATGGTAGTAGAGCTCCTGAAACAAAATTAATTCTGGAGTGGGTTTTATACACTGGTGAAAAATTGGTATAGCTTCTTTCACCCAGATGCAGAGTTCTTCATACATCATACAACCCAAAGTCCATAATCACTTTAAGTAAGGCTTTACATTGGGGCTTAAGTGTACGATATTACGGAGATGTTGTAAGTAATGTAGTATCTACCTGAGGGTCCATGATGTCATTTAGATCACCACATACTATCAATGTCCCAATCTGAGATGGAGTTAATTTTTCTAGAATTTTATATAAAAATTTCTATATTGATCATTAGAACTATAAATATTTACAATAGTATGGGATATATAATTTATCAAACATTGCAAAATGATATATCTACCTTGGCTATCTATTTTAATGTTCAATAATTCAAAGGAAAGTGTTTTGTGTACAAGTATTGAAACACCTCTAGATTTAGAAGAATGGGTAGTACGATATTGTATCGGATATTCTCTGTGTCCAAAGGTTGGCACTCTGTTTCTCACAAAGTGAGTGTCCTGGACACAGAGAATATCGATTTGTGTTCTTCTAGTAATATACGTATTTTATTAAATGTGTTATGTCCTTGTGCATTATGTGAACTTATTTTCATATAGCTTATATAAAAATTTTCACTTAATTGATTAATTAACTTAAAATTCTATAATTTTTTGTAAACCTAGTTCACTTAAGTTTACAAAAAACCATAACTAAACTACTAAAATGTTTTTGCATATACACTGCTCAAAAAAATAAAGGGAACACTTAAACAACACAATGTAACTCCAAGTCAATTACACTTCTGTGAAATCAAACTGTCTACTTAGGAAGCAACACTGAGTGACAATCAATTTCGCATGCTGTTGTGCAAATGGGATAGACAACAGGTGGAAATTATAGGCAATTAGCAAGACATCCCCAATAAAGGAGTGGTTCTGAAGGTGGTGACCACAGACCACTTCTCAGTTCCTATGCCTCCTGGCTGATGTTTTGGTCACTTTTGAATGCTGGCGGTGCTTTCACTCTAGTAGTAGCATGAGACGGAGTCTACAACCCACAGAAGTGGCTCAGGTAGTGCAGCTCATCCAGGATGGCACATCAATGCGAGCTGTGGCAAGAAGCTTTGCTGTGTCTGTCAGCGTAGTGTTCAGAGCATGGAGGCACTACCAGGAGACAGGCCAGTACATCAGGAGACGTGGAGGAGGCCGTAGGAGGGCAACAACCCAGCAGCAAGACCGCTACTTCCGCCTTTGTGCAAGGAGGTACAGGAGGAGCACTGCCAGAGCCCTGCAAAATGACCTCCAGCAGGCCACAAATGTGCATGTGTCTGCTCAAGCGGTCAGAAACAGACTCCATGAGGGTGGTATGAGGGCACGACGTTCACAGGTGGGGGTTGTGCTTACAGCCCAACACCGTGTAGGACATTTGGCATTTGCCAGAGAACACCAAGATTGGCAAATTCGCCACTGGCGCCCTTTGCTCTTCACAGATGAAAGCAGGTTCACCCTGAGTACATGTGACAGACGTGACAGAGACGCTGTGGAGAACGTTCTGCTGCCTGCAACATCCTCCAGCATGACCGGTTTGGCAGTGGGTCAGTAATGGTGTGGGGTGGCATTTCTTTGGGGGGCCGCACAGCCCTTCATGTGCTCACCAGAGGTAGCCTGACTGCCATTAGGTACCGAGATGAGATCCTCAGACCCCTTGTGAGACCATATGCTGGTGTGGTTGGCCCTGGGTTCCTCCTAATGAAAGACAATGCATTGATGCTATGGACTGGCCCGCCCGTTCACCAAACCTGAATCCAATTGAGCACATCTGGGACATCATGTCTCGCTCCATCCACCAACGTCACGTTGCACCACAGACTGTCCAGGTCTGGGAGGAGATCCTTCAGTAGACCATCCACCACCTCATCGGGAGCATGCACAGGCATTGTAGGGAGGTCATACAGGCACATGGAGGCCACACACACTACTGAGCCTCATTTTGACTTGTTTTAAGGACATTACATCAAAGCGGGATCAGCCTGTAGTGTGTTTTTCCACTTTAATTTTGAGTGTGACTCCAAATCTAGACCTCCATGGGTTGAAAAATTTGATTTCCATTTGTTAATTTTTGTGTGATTTTGTTGTCAGCACATTCAACTATGTAAAGAACAAAGTATTTAAGAAGACTATTTAATTCATTCAGATCTAGGATGTGTTATTTTTGTGTTCCCTTTATTTTTTTGAGCAGTGTACATAAAACCTGAGATGATCCAAATCCTCCATTTGTTGCTAATTATATGAACAAACATGTTATAACAATACTCATGCATAGAATCTATTCTAATCACTATTAAAGGCAATTACGGAATTAACCTTGTTATCATTTTATTGGGAAGAGGAAAATGGTATATGTAATGTAAAAGGAAAAAGTAAAAAATAAAGAAAAAAAGTCTATACAAAAAAACTCCATAAGAGGTTTTAAAAATAGTACCTTGGGGTTTTGAGCCCTCTAAGTCTCCTGGTGTGGTTATATGGGCCCACAGACCTTTTTATAATATATACTTTTTTATGAGGTTGAATAAGGGATGGCAAATTAGTCCATTTGAGTGCGCTGGATTGTGTATTTTGTATGATATATATAACATACAAAATACACAATCATTCACTAAACAGCAATTTTAGGTCCCACAGATTGTAATAGTTTTATTTAAAAACACCTCACCTAGGCAAAAAATAATGGGGAGACAGCCCCTGGAGGCAGACTTTCTCTGGAACTGCAATATTTAACATTGCAGCACTAGGTGCGATAGGAACACTGTACCCAGACCAATTCAATGAGCTAAAGTGGTCTGGGTACCTATAGTGTCCATTTAACTGTGTGTGCTCACTGAAGGGTGTAATATTTTTTATTTATTGTATAAATGTTTATTTAACCCCTTCAGACCGGAGGGTGTACTATTACGCCCTATTTTAGGTGGCTCTAAACGCCGCCGGGCATAACAGTACGCCCTCCGGTCTTTCATTACTTACCCGGTTGGGGGGAGCCCCCCCGCAACACATTCTCCTCCTGGCAGCCCCCCCGGCCATTTGAGAGTGAGGTCCTTGCGAGGACCTCACAATCACATGGCCAGGATAGCTGGCTGCTGCATTGCCAGCAGGGGGACTGCCTGTAATGACAGGTAGTCCCCCTGCTGGCTGGAAATAAAAATAAAATAAAGTTAAAAAGTGTAAAAAAAAAATATATACTTAGATCATATATATAATATATATATATATATATGATCTAAGTATATATATATATATATATATACACATATACATACACTGTCTAGGTGTATTTTACTATTAATATATATAATTATATATATATATATATATATTAATATCAAATTACACGTAGACTGATACTGATTAAATATATATAATTATTGTTATATATATATTTATATTTAATATTAAATTAAATATGTAAATACGTTAAAAAATAAAATTAAAAAAAATAATTAAAAAATATATAGATGTGTGTTATTTTGTTCTAACTGTATTGTGATATTAATATATATATATTTATATCAAAATACACGTAGAACGAAATAATATATATATCTATATACATAAATATAAACGTATATATCACTATATGTATACGTGTATATATAAATAAAAATATTTAAAAAAAATTATATATATATATATATATATACACATATATATTCACATACGTATATATATACATATATTAATTCTACATATATATTTATTTAAATATTTACATAATTAGGTATCTTAATTAATTACAATTAGCGGGACCTGCCTGACAACCCATGCCGAAAGTAAAGGGAATTTAATTTGCTAGCACTATATTTAACCCTATAACTTTCCAAGACACCATAAAACCTGTACATGGGGGGTACTGTTTTACTCGGGAGACTTCGCTGAACACAAATATTAGTGTTTCAAAACAGTAAAATGTATTACAACGATGATATCGCCAGTAAAAGTGAAGTTTTTTGCATTTTTCACGCACAAACCGCACTTACACGGACGATATTATTGCTGCGATACTTTTTACTGTTTTGAAACACAATTGTTTGTGTTCAGTGAAGTCTCCCAAGTACAACAGTACCCCTCATGTACACGTTTTATGGTGTTTTCAAAAGTTACAGCGTCAAATATAAGGCTTGTTTTACATTTTTTTTCACATTAAAATTCGCCAGATTGGTTACGTTGCCTTTGAGACTCTATGGTAGCCCAAGAAGGAAAATTACCCCTATGATGGCATACCATTTGCAATAGTAGACAATCCAAGGTATTGCAAACGGGGTATGCCCAGTCTTTTTTAGTAGCCACTTAGTCACAAACACTGGCCAAAATTGGCGTTTTTTGCATTTTTCACACACAAACAAATACTAACGCTAACTTTGGCCAGTGTTTGTGACCAAATGGCTACTAAAAAAGACTGGACATACCCAGGGCCGGATTAACATAGGGGCTGATGGAGCTGCAGCTCCAGGCCCAGGCCCAGGCCCATGGAATAGGCCAATTGATTTAAAAAAAAAAAAAAATTTTTTTTTTTACTTTTACATTTTTTTTTCTCCACACACTACTCTTAGGGATTCCACCTGGCTTTTATTTTATTGGCACAGCCAGTATTTGAGGCTGCCTGGCTGGTGCCAATATTGCAGTGATACTGGCAATACAAATGCTGGTATTTTTCTCAGTATAAACAAGAGATTACTATGCAATACCAACACTGGCCAGTAGGGGTCGCTGTGTGTGGAGACAGACAGGGATAGGAAGTTCCAGCATATCCCTCCCTGCCCATCTATACTCACTGATCTGCAGGGGAGCAGCTACAGAGAGTCCAGACAGCAACTCCCACCCTGCAGAGACAGCCTACAGCTCAGGGAAGTAATGGATGGGGGGAAAGGCTGCAAGGAGACATGGGGACACTGAGACACTAAGGGACATTGGGAGACATTATGACACAGACACATGGGGACACAGTGTCCCCATGTCTCCCAGCCAGTGTCCCTGGTGTCTCGGTGCCCCCTAGTCTCCCAGTGACCCCAGTCTGCCAGTGTCTCACTGTCCCTATGTCTCCTAGTGCCTCCATGTCTCTCAGTGCCTCAAGTGTCACAATGTCCCCATGTCCCCCAGCCTGTGTCTCTAGTGTCTGTGTCCCTGGTGCCTGTGTCCCCATGTCTTCAAGTGTCCCCTATTTTCCCATTGTCCCAATGTGTCCCAGCCAGAGTCCCCTAGTCTCCCAGTGTCACTGGTGTCTACGTGTCCCAAGGTCTCCCCATGTCCCCAGGTCTCCCCATCTTCCTAGTGACATGGGGACAAAGGGAGACATGGGGCATTGAGACACTGTGATTCATAGGATCACTGGGAGACCTGGGGACACGACACTAGGAGACACTGGGAGACATGGGGCACTGAGACACTGGAGTAATCGACACTTGGGGGCACTGAGTCATGAGGGCACTGGGAGACATGGGGGCACTGGGAGGAATCCATCTATACAGCAGAATCAAACTAAGTAGTTTTTTGGTGATTTTACAGAATTTTCTCTTATGTCACTCCTTGTGATTTACATGTGATGTCACCCATACATATTTAATTATGCAAATTAGTAAGGCCGGTATGTTTTTCCAAGAAAGGTGGTAACCCTAACTACTTTTCACATACTCTTACTTAAGTATGGAAACTTAAGAGTGAAGTATGGGAACAAAACTTGTGTGGACTGGCTGACAATGAATATAGTTAAAGGGACACTTTAGTCACCAGAACAACTACAGCTTATTGAATTTGTTCTGGTGAGTAGAATCATTTCCGTCAGGCTTTTTGCTATAAACACTGTCTTTTCAGAGAAAATGCAGTCTTTACATTACAGCCTAGTGATAACTTCACTGGCCACTCCTTAGATGGCTGTTAGAGATCCTTCCTGGGTCATGGCTGCCTAAAATGCATCCAAACATTCAGTGTCTCCTCCCTCTGCATGCAGACACTGAACTTTCCTCATAGAGATTCATTAATTCAATTCATCTCTATAAGGAGATGCTGATTGACCAGGGCTGTGTTTGAATCATGCTGGCTCTGACCCTGATCTGCCTCTTTGTCAGTCTCAGCCAATCCTATGGGAAGCACTGTGATTGGATCAGGCCACCACTTCTAATGATGTCAGCAGACTGCTTGTTTTTATGAGTCTAACAGCATGCAGAGTTACAGCTTCAGGCTTGAATATAGTAAGATTTTGCTATATTTATGGAGGCATGAGGGGCCCAGGGGGGCTAGATGGTGGTGTTAACACTATAGGGTCATGAATTCATGTTTGTGTTCCTGACCCTATAGTGATCCTTTAAGGTAATGCTGACTTTGGTCTCTCTAACACTGTGGCATGTTCCCTTTCTTCTACACTCACTACATACAGCTTTTCTCTGTCCCAGACTATATACCAGGAGCTTCTGCCAGCTAGTAAGAAGGTAAGGAGACAAGTGGACCAGCGAGTGCTAGGGGACAGTCCTTAGAAAGCGTTGAGCAAGCGCATCAATAGATGCATTTATGCCACGCTCAGGGTGCTGTCTGTCATAGTATGCCCTTAGTTGGCCAGCTGCATGATTGGCAGGCAGCTGGCCTTCTAATTCTTTGGGCAGACATGTCCTCTTTTTGGGCATGTTCGCCCCTTTTGGCAGGTTACGTAATTTGTGTCAGTGGCACACCCTTTTACCATGCCCATTGACTTCCTGCTTGACTGGACACTGCTGTTGGGGGTTATGGATTTACTTGAAAGATGAAAACATAAATTAGAGAGAGATTAGCCTAGGGTATGTGTTTTCTTATAGCTGCTGTTTTCTTTCTCTCCAGCACCATCTCCATCAGATACATGACGCTTGGGAGTGTTTTACTGTTTTTGGTCGATATGATTCTGTAATTAGGCCCATCCTAATTGTCAGCACCAGGCCCACTGGGCTCTTAATCTGGCCCTGGACATACCCCATTTGCAATACCTTGGGTTGCCTACTATTGCAAATGGTATGCCATTATGGGTGTAAATTTCATTCCTGGGCTACTATAAAGTCCCAAAGGCAACGTAACCAATCTGGCGAATTTCAATTTCAAATGTAACGTGCTATATTTGACCCTGTAACTTCCCAAAACGCCATAAAACCTGTACATAGGGGGTACTGTTTTACACGTGAGACTTTGCTGAATACAAATATGTGTATTTTATTGCAGTAAAAGCAAACAGTATTAACACATTGACAGTTAAAATGTCATGTAGAACTAAAAAAATCAAAAATAATCTTATTTTCTCCCATTTTTTTTTCATATTAAATTATGTTTCATAGCTAAATATTTGATATTAAATGAAAGCCCTGTTTCCCCTTAATAAAATGATATATAATAAGGGTGGGTGTATTTAATATGAAAGAGGTGAATTATGGTTGGACAGACATGTAGCGCAAATGCCATGTTTTGTTTACATTTTGTTTCGTTCACAACGTGTACATTTGGCTCAGTCCTTAAGGGGTTAAGATGATAGGGAAAACACCTTCCATTACATCCACATTTGGGATATATAAATAATAAGCGCCGACACACATTATTCTTTGTTTTTAACAAATACATTTATACTTATGTTCTTTTTTTAATATGATTCAGTTTTTTTTTTTTCTAGCAGAGAAGTCTGATGTAAAGGACACCGGGAAAAAAAAACCTGAAAAGGATAAAAGCAGGTCTGCATCTCATTCTGCACGGCCTCCTTCAGAGCCTTCAAACACTCTTCAGCAATTAGTACAAGAAAGTAAGTTGTTATTTACTAGACATTTAATGTCACCAATATCCGTATTACATATAAGCAATGCATGGACCAATGGTTGCAGACCGTAGATAACCATCCATGTCTTGGTATCTTTGGATGTTTCTCCTCACTCATGTCACCAAGCAGCACCACGTGTCCTTCAGGTATAAGTTTAGATGTAGGAGGTTACGCAACTTTTCGACCATACAGCCTATTGTGTCATTTATGTAACATCATACCCATACTTTTTGACATGACAATTCTTATTCTAAACATAGAAAAGATGCCATTCCATGTTTATATACCCTCAACACAGACAAAACAACACCCTGTCATGGTTTGCTTAAGATATACACGAGTGTGTTTTCTTTCTGATCTATTGGTATCTCACCCAGTTACCCTCTAATGATTTTGTCCTCTGTTCTCCTTTGCTCTTTTGTATGATACTATATGTCCCTTGGACCACAGCTTGTTCTAGTTTACTCTGTTGGCCTGTTCCTAGACTTTTCCACCTACCCAGACACCAGCCATCTCTAACATCTGGTAATTGGCTGCTATCTTTTCTGCTCTTTAGGCTAAGTTTGACCTAAGTTCTGCATACAAAAGGTATTATAGATGGTATCTATAACAGATTATAGATGGTAGTAGAAAATGCATGAGCTGATATATAATAGTGAGAAGAGAGTAAGCTTTGTTGATTTGAATGGAATGTTACAGGGGAATAAAAGTCAAATTAAAACTAGAGTGAAAGGTGGGACAAATTGACTTTTCCTTTTTTTTTTTTTTTTATATAAAAAGATGCAACAATTTAAATAGAGCATCAGCTGTGTAGAATGTACATTTTTTGCAAATAAATTCAGTACACCGACAGTGGTCTCGCAGCTAATCTGGCTAGAGTTATATTTTGTCAATGTTCACTTTCAGCCCATCATTGGATAATTTTGACTGGAATCAGTACAGGGGTCCTAGATCAGGGTTTCTCTATCAACCCATATAAAACCAAACTACTAGCCAGTACAGCTCGAACAGCATTTTGCAAACTGACAAATGGGGTGTCAGTAACGCGAGACAAAATGGCATAATATAAAAATAAATGCCACTTTATTTCCATATAAAGAATTTCTTTATGTTTTTCAATGTTGGCTAATATTGAGGAAGTTGTGGTGTAGAAAAAAGGCCAGTGGCTCTTGAAGTAATAATTTTAATACTTGAAGCTAAATTGCCATCTGGATTTGATATTGCAGACAGAGATTTGTTTGGAATGAAATGACAGTGGATTATAGCATTCACATGAAATAATGTGGTATTTCATGCAATCCAAAAGCATCTGCAGGATCTTCATATAGAACCTAAAGGGCAATATTGCTTTTACTAAAACCAAGTCAACAGCTGCGCTTCACAATGAAGTTATTTGCATAATACTAAGGGTAAATATAAATAGCCAGCCATGTACATCTAGTTGTGCACTTCTTTAACTCTTTGTAGAAGTGATGAATTGGCTCATCTCAAACTCTTGTATCCCTCTAGCAATCTAAATTATTTAAATACACAACACCTGGAAAATGTAAATAAACAGCAGAAAGTAATGGTATTAAATTGTACATAATCTTTAAGCTTCATATTTTCTTTTTTTCATTTATGTGCTTGGCTTGGCACTGGCAATGCAATAGCAAGAAGGAAATTGAAATAAAACTAACTGTACAATGTTTGCATGAGTTTATATGTTTGTTATAAATTATTGTAGCAGTATCAGTGCAATGAAACTGTATTCAAACACGAATGCCAATTGCAAAATAACAAAGGACCCTGAGTAATGTTTCCATTCTTGGGTAACCGGTGAAAACCCCCCAATAATTTAACATCCATGGCATTCATCATTACAAACTTGTTAATACCGGAGATATATACTATTTTCGAACTTCCCTTCATACTTCTCAAGTATTAACCCATGCAACCAATCAACGGCTCTGTTTTCTATCTCTTAGGAAAATATATTTTACTTTTAATAGGCCCACATTGGAATGCAAACAGAGCTTTCTTTTCCATCTAAATAGGTAAAGGATGTTTTGTCAGTATTCTTATTATTTGTCCTGCCTTATTCCATAATCCAAGTATTTGATGCTTGGTATCCAAATTACTATTAACGATACCATATGAAGGCCAGAGCCTATGCATATACTCTGATTATATGCACTGTACCAAGACATTCTTTGTTCAAACCCAGACTGAAAATAATGATAGTATGCACCACCCTTGATTGACAAGCTCTGACTGTAACCATCAGGAAAGACAATTTCTGAATCACCCTCAGATTCAATAATATCACCAACCACAGTCATTCTTTAGGTCACTGCAAGGTGTAGTTGCTGAAATGTAAGACTTCCTTCAGATAACTACACCGCTCCAGAACCTTTTCTGCAATCTCTCCAGACCCAACAATCTTTGAGTTTAACAATAAGTAAATTAAAATAATAACTAACTAAAATGTTACTGTTGTGTCCATTTTTTATATCTTCCATTTATCTCTGACCCCATGACATTTTTATAAAAAAATAATTACCTATATTGTTTTGCTTTTTTTTTTTTTTTACCCTGAAGACGATTCAAGTTACTTAGTGTGACTTTCAAATTGACCAAATGAGCAACTTATTAGAAGGATATATAATAAGAAGATTATTAACTAAAGGGCTAATTGACAGCAATTCAATGTGAAGTCGGTTATTTTCAGTTTGGCTATTTTGCCGTCAATTGTAAATGGCTTGTGCATCTTGAATTTCTAATAGTCATGCTGTCATGAGGGGCGTCATGATGTGCGTACGTGCTGATGCTTGTGCTCGTGCCCCGTGATGACGGAAGAGGAGGGGGGACCCGCCAAGACCTAGCGTGAGCGGAGTCTTCGCAGGCTTTTCTCCGTTAGCCAGACCCTGCTTTGCCTGTAAGAACTAGTTTGAGGCGTGCAGGATCCCTGCAAAGAGATTACCTTACCTGGCGGTGTACTGCGAGTATTTTGCTGCCGGCTCCGGTCTGGTCCGGTTAGTATCTCGTGCTGCTGCAGTTACAATGAACACGGTTGATGTTCCCACTATGATGGCTCACTCTTGCTGTTGAGCCAGACTCTGTTTTACCTGGAAGAACCCGTTCGAGGCGTGTTGGACCCCCGCAAAGAGATTACCTTAACTGGTGGTGTACTGCCGGCTCAGGTCCGGTTCGGTTGGTATCCCTTGCTGTTGTAGATATACGAAATCGGTTGATGGACCCACCATGGTGGCTCATTGCTGCTGTTGAGGTATTGGGGTTAACACAGCTGTGGACAGATAACTTATATATACTATATACTGGCCTAGGTTATTATAGCCCTACTATTTAATTATTTGTGCCTAGTTTTTGGCTTTTTTCTGCAATTGTTTATACTTGTTAGCCGCTGAGACCACTGAGTGTATTTGAAAGTCATTCAACTATTTGGGCTAGTTAACTATTTGGCCATGAAAAAATCATATGAAACAAAATCCTCTACAAGGAAAGACAAAAAAGACTCTTTACAAGAAAAGACACAGGATAAGTCTTTAACAACATATTTTTCACCTCAGCCACATCAGACTCTAAAGTATAGGACGACTGATATGGATCTCAATTCAGAGAGTATGGAGTCAGAAGGTACAAAAAATCCTGATAAGGAACCGATTACTATTTCACTGTTGCATACAAGTTTAAAAGCCAATTTAGAAGAGATAAATTCTGAACTGGCCGTAATGGCTACAGAAATCAAAGCAGATATAAAAAAGGAAATAAATATCTTGACAACAAAATTGGAGGGTCTTGAGGTTAAATTAAAAGATATGGACTTCCAAGTAAATCTCCGGAATGATAACTATCAATTGGCACTTCGTAAAATTTCAGACCTCGAACTCAAAGTAAGTGATTTGGAAGACCGATCGAGGCGGAAAAATTTACGTTTTAGAAATCTGCCGGAGAAGGGGCCAGAATTCTGACAGAATCCTGACGAAGATGCACTACCTAAGCACCAAAACGTGCGTCGGGTTTTCTTTCTCACTTATTTTCACACTGGGCACTTTCACTATGTGCAGGCAACCAACATTCTAAGTATGGTTCTGCACATTAGCACTATGTAGTTTAATTTTCTTAACCTCCTTTCCAGTCCTTAACTTCTTATTAAGTAATCTTTGAAGGGGATACATTAATTACTAGATATCTTTCTTTATATTTTCATAATAAGTCCCTTCACTGGTTACTAATTAATACATTGATATATATTTTCTTGGAGACCTGTTTAGTTACTGTTTCTGTATGGTATTTATTCTAGTACAGTGTTACTACAGTGTTACTAAATATCAAGTGGATATACATATCCTAGAGATCATCCTCCTTATATAGACAGCACATTGTCATCATAGAGCTGCCAGGACAAGTGATTGATCTTTTAGGTACAAGGTCGCCTTTTTAGTTATTAGGACTGGTATCCGTGATCTAATATTTATTTACCATTATATACAGACTTTGACCTATCTTGTTAATAATAAAGTCAGGACTCTGAGGTTTATTTTATTCACGGTTTAGTGTTTGAGAGGTATAGCCTATAGGCTTTGTATGTACTATTTCACATTTGGATTGCTTTGACGTTTGGGATGGGTATGTTATGTACCTCTTTGTATTTAAGCAATTTCTTACAGATTGAACCTTTATCATTATAGTTCCAGTTTATACTCGAACCACTGGATTGTTCTATCCAGTAACTTGAGTTTTTTTGACCGTGTTTATACAGCCTGATTATAATTACTTATAAAAATTGTGCCACGACCTTAATGCCACATGAATGTACAACTGTATTATCACTGCGCTTACAACTGCGTTGTGGCACTGTAAGCTGTCTTGTTATCTCTTGCACAACGAAAAATAAAGAATAAAAAAAAATGGTATTAATTCCTGATGTTGTAAAATATGCCAATTTTTATTTAAACTGCCTTTAAATTTATTATTATTATTATTATTATTATTATTATAATTTAAAATAAGGGAAACCTTATATATCTATTAACATTTTTAGGTTTATATTAAAGTAAATTTTCTCTCTCTCTTTCTTGTTTTTTTTTTTTATTTTAACTACTAAGTTGGTGACTCAGCTCAAGAAACTGATCTTTCAGGAGATTTACTTGGTCATCTAACTGAGCGATGTCCGAGCAGTTTCTCCTCAAACTGAGAAACTGGACTTTTGGAATATTGTCAAACCATAGGCGGAAGTGACAGCTATCTCTATGGATATAGCTATATACATCCACCTATTTTTAAAAAAATGTCAGAGTTTTTACCTTTTCATTCTCAATATAAATTTCTAGATCTAAAAAGTAGATTTTTGTTTTATTTACCTTGTGTGTCAATCGAATGTTCCATATGTAATTATTTAAAAGTCTAAAACTGAAACCCCTTTCCAAATAATTTAATAAAAATATTTTTCCCAAACCCAATGTGGCCCATGTGACTTCAGTTGTATCGTAGACAGCTTTATGAACTATGTGGAATTCATAAAGGACGCGTGATGCGTCGTTGTGCATGCATGATGACATCACAATTCTCTTTCATTTGTCTGCAGTCATCTTGAAGGGACGCTCCTAAAGACAGACCCCTAAAGCACTTTAGATTGCTGAAAAGCTTTATGTTTGAAGAATGTGTCCTCTTTTTTTCATTTTGCAAATAGTGCAGATTTCAATAGAAATTGACACTTTTTTTTTTTTATAAATTAACCTGATAACATCCCTTGGCATTCAAGCAGACAACAGGTTCTGTTACTTATTGGTATAGGGTAGCTAAGTGGAGCTAAACTCAAGAGGCAGCAATTGACAAGATCACCTGCCTTGCAAAGACTTCTCATTGAGCTGCATTGGAAAGTATGTGATTGGACAGCCACAGAAAGTCTGGGCGGGGTTAGAAGATGAGGGTTTGCAAAAGCTGCATACATGAGAAATGCATGCTTTGCAAGAGGTTTTTTGATATAATCCCAAGTGAAAGACAGATCCATGTTACACAGTTATTGCCTGCTCATATTAATCTCCTCACAAAAATCTGATTATTGATGGTCAGGATTTAAAAGGACGCTTGTCATCAAATTTTCTCATTTTTTAAAGTTATTTACAATTATTGAAACTTGTTTTTTTTTTCATATTTATGTTTTATTGTTTTCATATTATAACCAGAGCACTTTTGGCTGTACAAGAGTATTACATGAGATACACAGTTTGTTAGCGTATACAGTTGGTTAATGCGTACGTTTTACAGCGCCTCAGTCATAATCTCTATGTCAGTAACAAGAATATGCTACAATAAGGAGTATAGCAAAGGTTACATTGATGCAAATAAAGATAGTGGTGAGAGCACTCAATCAATTAAATATAAAAAGTTTACCAGTACTGGACATGTATCTAAAATAACAAGACATAAAAGAACCATAGGGTAATATTATCATAAACATATGTTAAAACCCTTGTGTGACTGGTCAAACTCACATTTTGCTGAGTCACTTAAAGAAGCTGACTCAGACTATAAGATGTTAGCGGAGATAAACCACATAAAGCAGGACTTCTGTACCGGTCTGAATAAATCCTCCTTGGATATGATCAGACCAATTAATCCAGGATGCAGGATCAAATTAACACTTATTTATTGATAAAAGCTAAAATAAAAAAACAATAACAGAATAATGTCCTTAAAACTGCCACGATGCTTTTCGGTGGTAAAGCCTTCCTCAAGTGGTGCTGTCCGTCCATCTTCACTGTTCCTTATACAGGAATTTTGGCGCCCATCCCTGTGACTATCGTGTCTTACTACTTCCGCTTTCGTCAATTTTCGTCGTCCGACGTCTAACTTGCGTATCTTGCGTCATGACGTCACTCGGGCGACATCTACCGGATGTGTTACGGGCGCCATTTTGGAAAGTCCAATATATGAATATAAGTGCCAGTCTTTAACAAATTCTTATAATTAATAAAGTGCATAAGCATCAAGCACTAAAATTACAAGTGAACCTACTTAGAGGGAAAAAATATAGAGGAAATATCATCAGAAAAACGGATTGTACACAGAAAAAAATAAAAAATAAATAAAATTACAGCTTAAGTAGTAAAAACATAGAGACTCTGAAATATATTATATAAAACTCTTTGTGGGAAAAACATTATGTAAGAGGGGGGAAACATGAGGAATATATATAAAACACAGATAGTTATATACATGAATTCATTTCGAAATGTGAATTCAGACCATGAGGGGACAATGATTCCATATTAAAAATCTACCTCATTTCAGTTTTACTGAGGAGGCTCTCAATGTCTCCTCCTTTCCAGTGTGTTTTCACTTTTTCTATTCCTATGAATTCTAAACCATTTGCTTACCCCCATGGGCTTCCCAAATTTTTTTTTGATTCTCTACAAAGGGTACATTTTCTGTTAATATTATAAATATGTTCCCTGATTCTTATTTTTAATGTTCTAGAAGTTTTGCCAATATTCTGAAAAATAATCATGTAAATAAAATTTTTTGGAATTACAAGTTAAAAAAGATTTAATATTAAAAGATTTTTTGTTACGGAATGAGGTAAATTTAGTAATGTTCTTATTCTTGTTCCTTCTTAAAGTGCAACCTTTACAAGTCTCACAATAATAAAAACATTTTCTCTTTTAAACATAGTTAAAACCTGTGGATTCGTCCTTTTATCTAAAAAACCTGAAGTTAAAACTTGCTTAAGACTCTTCGCTCGTCTAAAAATCTGGTCCCCATGGCCGTTCCTTTTGTTTGCAGATAAAAACTGTTTTCCAACCAAAAGAAAAAATTGTTAAAAATAATCATATCAAACTTATGTTTGCGGGGACTTCAACTGCGTACTTGACCCAGACCTGGACAGATCAGGCACCCCAGGTTCCCACCCCTGCTCCATCTCTATTGGTGACAAGCTCTATACCCGGCCACCAGGGACTATACTTTTTATTCGAAAGTCCACGACCAATATTCCCGCACCATCGACCCTATCACCTGGTCAGACCACGCCCCACTTGCTGTCCTCATTTACCACTCTACACCTGATGAGGGGACGAGGCACGTGGCGCCTCAATGAATCGCTTATAAACGGCACTGAACAGGTTGCAGAGATAAGGAAAACAATAGTGAATTACTTCACAGACAACCAGCCCCAAGACACAACCGTAGACGCGACATGGCTGGCCCATAAGGCCGTGGTACGGGGAGTACTGATTAGGGCAGGAGCGACACCTAAACGCAAACTAGCGGAGACCAGCAGAGCACGGCTCAGGGATCTGAAACTTGCAGAGGACCTCCACAAATCTTCACCCACTGACGTGACCAGACTGGAAGTTAATAAGATCAGAGCTGACTTAGAAACTCACCAACTCCAGCGAGTGGAGAGGGCTCTCCGTAAACTCAAAAGCGAGTACTATAGACAAGGGAACAGTGCGGGGAAATTGCTAGCCGCCCAACTGAAAGACAAAAACGCTCAGATGTGCATACCATGCTTAGTAGACGGTAACGGGACAAAACTGACAAACCCCAAACTGATAGTAGATTAATTTTATGGTGCCCTGTATAATTTAGCGGAGCACCCCCTACAACACCAGCCGCCTACTTAGACAGAGTGGAGCTCCCCCAGCTCTCCAGCGACCAAGCCTCTCTACTCAGTAGTAAAATCACTCCAGAGGAAATCTCCAAAGCACTTAGGGAAACCCCCCGACACAAAACCCCGGGACCGGATGGTTTCTCCACCCACAACTACAAAGTCTTTGTGGACCAACTCCTTCCACACATGACCTCCCTGTTCAACAACATCATGGAGTCAGGCTCCATACCCCCTGAAATGTTAGAGGCCACCATAATTACTATTCCCAAGGCAGGCAAACCCACGTAATTTTGCGCAAATTACCGCCCTATCTCCCTGCTTAACGCAGACACGAAGCTATTTGCCAAAGACCTAGCCAACAGAATACGCCCCCTCCTGTGTACGCTTGTCTCCCCGGAACAATCAGGTTTCGTCCTGGAGCGTCAAGTAGAGGAAAACACCAGATGGGCACTGGACATAATGGAACTCCTGACGGTACACAGAACACAGGGACTGTTAATGATATCAATCTTTGTGTCGTTAATGAATATGAAATATAAGTTTTTGCTTGTGTTTGGGAGCAGGTTCTGGCATGTACAGGGGTAGAAACGTTATAGGCCAGCAGGGGCAGTACTTGATTTGTCACTGCTAAGATTAGCTTGTTCACCTGTCTCCAATAGATGGCTATCTGTGTACATTGTCACCACACGTGTAACATATCTCCTGCTGCTTGATGGCATCTCCAACATAAGTGGGAAGATTGTGGGAAAAGATTATGGATTTTAGTTGGGACCATTTACCAATGGTAAAGTAGTTTATGATTCTGTTCAATAAGCATTGCCGATTTAATCAGGCGCTTGGGTGTATTTACCATTGAGTCCCATTGTTTCGGGGTAATACCGCTATCTAGGTCTTCTGCCCAGAGAAGTGCAGGGCCTGATACTGCGAGAGGGGTTTGTTCAGAGAGTATCCTGTAGCACATGGAGATGAGTTTGCAAAGCCCCGCTTTTACAAATCTGTTCCCAGTCTGTTACATTTTTTATACATTTACCGGGCCATTGGCTGGTGCAGCTACGCCTTGGAGATATGGTTTTGATTGGATGTAGGAGAAGTTAGAGGTTTGGAGTAGTACGTATGTAGAGGACAGCATAGGGAAATCAATCAGACCTGTCGGAGAAAAGAGATGGTAGAGGTGGGTAACTCCAGCTTCCTGTCATGGTGTAGCGTGGAATGTAGGTATACAGTAAACCAACGCCTGGGTCGGGGTTGCTAATGATACTAGGCCAGGTCCACTCAGTTAGTGCCTGTTCAAATCTCATATGTGAAGAACTAGTTTGTTTTTTGTGGGAGCCAAATGAGTAGGGGGTCTTTTGTCTTTAGGTAACCACAGTAAGCTAGCTAAGTCATATGGCCTCACTAGTGTCCATTCAATACCTATCCGTTGAGGAGTTTTGTTTGAGAAAGTGCCGTAGTGCAGATGCTAAGGCCGCTGCGTGATAGTACTTTTGGATATGTGGGAACGCCATGCCACCTGAGTTGGCCGAAGCTAGCATCAGTCCGCTGGTCACTATAGGTCGTCCCTCCACCCAGACAAACGTTGAGGTTCTTGTTCACAGATCTGAAAAATATATGGGGCAGATGCAGTGGTAGTGCAAAAAAAGATATTGGAGTCTGTGAAGTATGGACAATTTGATCGCTATAATGTGTTCCGTCCATGTTAAGAACATCTGTGTCCACTTTTTCAATAGTGTAGCACATTCGCTCCATACCTTAACGCTGTTTGCGGCGTAGAGGTCTACAGGGTTTTTGTGAACGTCAGTTGTAGATATTTAATATTGTCAGATCGCTATTCAAAATTGTATGTGTGTGTTGAAGATAGGTAAGAGTGGTTGCTGGATACCAATGTGTAAAGCCTGCGCTTTGCTGGTGTTAAGGGAATAGTAGGATACCTGTCCGTAGTCCCGTGAGAGCTCTAGTAAGTGTGATAGTGTTTTCCTTTGGTTGGTAACATATAGCTGAATATCATAGGTAAATCTGCCGATATTTATTTCTCTGCCACATATCTCCAGGCCATGCATGCTTGGGTGTTCCTGTATGGATATCAGTAAGGGTTCCAGGGCCAGTACGTATAGGAGTGGCCACAGGCAACAGCCTTGCCACATTCCATTTGTAATCATGACAGTAGAGGACAGGAAGCCTGTTTTCAATATTTGTGCAGATGGGCAGGAATAGAGTGCAAATATTTATTTAGTAACCTGGGGGGAAAACCATAGTAGTTAAATAACTTTTCAAGGACGGTCCAACCGAGGTGATCGAACGCTTTCTCGGCGTCTAACGCTAAGAGCAGACATCCGAAACCTTTCCAGCACTATTTATAGTTTGCTTGTATTATCCTGTCCCTGCCTCCCCGAGATAAAAATGTCACTGCAGCCATGTTGGGTCAGACTCTACTTTTATCTGACCAACTGCTGCTCAACCTAACTTGCCTGATGTTGCAATTGCTCTAAGTGCCAACAGATGATCAGATAACAGTAGAATCTGACCCAACATGGCTGTTTAATCAGATAAAACAAAGTGTGAAATGTTCTAAAATAAATCAATAGAAATCTTTTTTAAAATTAAATTTCATTAAGTGTAATAAACTAAAAAAATAAATAAAAAAAAGTAAACATTTTATGACAATTGTCTCTGTCATATTTTTGTTACAAATTGGATCACACCTTATTCTTGCTCAATAGGTATCTTCCTTGCAGGAAGGGTCCAGTAAAAAAATGCAGTACATCTTAACTAAATATTACCCAGGTCTATTTTTTCTTTTCATATTTTTTTTTTTTTTTTACTGAATAACTTTCAGTATCTGGGATTGAATCCAGTAACCTGGGAGGAATTGGAAATGTTTTATTTTGGATCATTTAAAACAGTGAAGTGTACTTGTATGGAGCTACTTAATTAAAATATATTTACATGTGAAACTGCTAAAATAAAAATATTGGTATATGCGAAGTAGTGATTTGTTATATTTACAGAACTGCATGTCTCTCAGAAGTAACACTATGCAAATGCACCCATCTGTAAGACAACAAGATTTTCATAACAGCAGTAACAGTATTGTCAGATGTTTTTATGCAATTGGCAAAATACAGATTGGCACATTGCCAGTGGTAGTACATTGTGTATATTTTGGAAGAGATGGCAGATGGTATAATGTTAGCCAAATGATGCTGGTATGTGTCTACAGATAAATGTGTTTTATAGGTGTGGTAAAATGGTCAGAACAATCAATATGTATGGATAAATATAGTGACATAAATAATAATATTCATTGACCTACAGCATAATTCTTTATTTTTTACCGCTCTTGGCAGGGGTCATCAAGTAGAACAATACAGTCTTCAGTTACATAAGAGACAATTGTCACATATAATCAATATAACCAACCCCAACAGAATTGTAAGTGGCAGTAGGCCAGGTAGGAAGATGCATTATTTTACCGGCAATGCCTATCGACATTAGTGCCATGAATACGTATGTCTCTGCGTATGTTATTTTGGACCCGCCTTATGAAGGTTTTTCTGTTTGTTTTTTCTTTCTGGTATACATGTTTTAGTGTGAAATATTAATAGAGTTAACGGTGTGTATTACGAGTCCCATTGTGAATGGGAGGAGAAGTATAGACAGGTGATAGGAGAATAGTGTGATGTAAGACAGAGAAGAGTCAGAGATTGTTACAAGATGAGATAGGCCAGCAGGGTACGAGGACAGGGGGTAGCCAGGCAGAATCCCTCGGGTGCCCAGAGATGGAGTGCAGGCGGAAAGGAAATAACGGTGTAGGATGAGCCTGACCCTTCCTTTCCCGTTCTAAGTCCCCTAAATCTCCCCTATCGTCCCTGAGTAAGCTTCCCAGAACTGGCTTTTTATAGAAACATTTATTTTGGAAATTTCAGCTTTCAGGAGGCTCTAAAATCCTGTCACGTGTGCAGCAGCTGCATAGAATATGTTACTTTATTTTTGTAATTTTGGCCTAGTGTTGGCTAATCACATGTATTGGCATTTCTCTGCTGCCAACATGCCTTTGAATGGTTCGGATTGCTTTAATTATAGCAGTTAAATTCTTATCGAGAGCATAAAAATATTGATTCTAATATTGTATCCAAAACCTATATTTTACATTGAATTTATCGGCTTCATTTAACAGATAATTGGGCCTACCCGATTCAACAGCTAAAAATATAAAATTTTCTGACGCAAATCTTAAGAGCAGCGATGTGTCTGTCAGAGTACTCTGATTGGTTGGCTTATATGATCCTAGGTTTATATGCCACCAGCTGACCACACTGAACAAGTGAGATTGTGTTTTGGAATCCAGCTGACAATATTTTGTCTGGTAAATTGTTTAAATTATTTAGGGTTTATGAAGATTCTTTGATTTCCTTTACATGTACCTCATAATTGATGTATTTAAAGTGGATCCTCAATTAGGATCAAGGGATGCCCATGTAGTAACACCAAAGCACCTAGACACCAACCCCCCAAATCCTCCTATAATTAATCAATTCTCTGTATAGCCTCCCTCCTTACTAAGATAACATAACCTATAAAAATATGTTAAAAAGAAGATATACCTACTTGCCTGTATTGCCATCATAGCATACTCATAACGATATAATAAAGCCCACCAATCAGAGTGCAGTGAGAGCTCTTGGCAGGAACATAAAATTCAAATGAAAGGTGAAGTACTATTTTCAAGTGAAAATTTCTAGCAGTAAAATGCACACTAATGAGTAGGGTGTCCCAGATGTCCAAAACAATAACTCATACAAACATATTCACCTTATATAACTATTGCCATATTCCTCACATACATCACTGTCAATGTGCACTGCTTGATTTTCTCACACATGGCTTAATGAATCTGGTAGGCCCAATTATCTGTTAAATGGAATTTTTCACACATGGCTAAATCTGTAATCCCTAGGCAAAGAAAAAAGCAAAGATTTTGCTATCCACTGTCACTGTGTGATACACTGCATTCATTACACTGCCATTGATGCTTGTCTCGGAGCTGGAATCAGATAATAAATTTAAAAAAGTTACAGATCTGCATGTGTAAATACATGTTACTCTTTGATAGTAGTACAAGCTACCCTAACACCATCTAACTCTAACACCACCATAGCTGTCCAAGCTTGGATGGCTTTGGATAAATAATGTGCAAGTGACATTTCCGCAGTACGGTCATGGTTTCTTGTAACCTTTGCATGGAGTTGTTAAACCTAGTTCATATTTGTGTAGATGGGAATACAGGATAGTACCCTACTACTGGATTTTAGAGTGACTGGGTCAGGAAATTAGAATAAAATAATATCAATCAATTTAGAGAAATCACTATAGAATACGAACACACAAGTAACCTGAAAGAATTAGTATAGAATGCAAGCTTAAATAGCATAATTGTTGCTATTATCGATGTCAGTTTAGCTGCGCCCAGTGATGCAAGTGCACACATTCAGCTGGAATTTGATATGGCCAAACTGATATAAGCAGACTGTGCTCCAAAGTAGAACAGCGTGGGTGCGATCAACGTAGGACATGCCACAGGGTGTCCAGCACTAGCATTGAGTAACCCGTGCCCAGTAACAATAATATGACTGGCAACTGAAGGACCATTTTGTTAAATGTCTTGAAAACTGTTTGACAGAAAACTTCTGTTATTATGTCTATACTTATTTACTATAAAGTATTCAAACATTTTGAAGTAATTGGTTAGCTCATAATTGCTCAATATATTTTTGTTCTCAATGTGAAGCATTGTTTCTAATGGTGCAGTAAAACCTCAAGGAATGGCCATTTACACTGTTAATGAGGTTACCAGTAAGGCACTGATGTTGACCCTTTAAATATCAAACAATCTTTTTGTCCCTCTTAATATGCTTTTTTTTCAAGAATAAACTGATTCAAAACTATTAACTTTTTTTCTCAACTAAAAACAGACAAGTTAAACCAGCCAAAAGTGCTAACATTCTCACCCCCCCAGTGACGTTTGCACATTTGATACTACATCCCTTCCATCTGAACAATAAAATATCAAAACCCACCTTTAATTCCTTAATTGAAAATATCATACAACCTTCCACAATGTTTTATATAAAATTCTCAGTTTAAAAACATAAATGTTATAAGCCAATTTCACTTTTTATAGAACATAGAGTAGATGTTTAAAGGCAGATAATAGCTGAGATAATACATTATTCTATTTATTTGTGATTTAAAAAAAATAAATAAAAAAATTCTCATTTATTTTCTTTGCAGCCACAACTGTGCCACCGGAGCCGCAGATGGTTGTATATGCCAGCTATTTACCACTTCACTTGAATGAGCAGAAGATTTCTATACTAGGGCAGATGGTAAGAAGTAAAAACAAAAAACAACATTGCAGGAATAAAACCAGTCTATAAAATCAAATATTATTCAACTTTTCCTTAAATTTAACTAGCTTTAAAAAAAAAAAAAAAAAAAAGTAGTAGTATTAATATAGTCTACCTAGTTATATGAGTCACTCTCTCAGAGATTTGCCTGTCAATTCACGGCATCCTATTATTTTTTTATTGTGCCCTTTGGAGTGCACGATTAGTCTGTAACACATGGAATCTACTGCCATCCATTATCTCTTCATCTCCTGCTCCTTAAACCTCTTGACACTGATTGAAACCCGGCTGTCTCCCCAGAGACTGCTACCACTGCCTTATTATCCTATGGTGTATTGCACTTATCTTACTCTCTCAGGCCTTGCTATTTTCAGGGTAGCGCTCTCCCCTTTCAACCTTTGCCCCTTTGTCCTGCTCTCTCTTTACCTCTTTTGAAGTCTATTTAATCCATCTCTTTAATCCTTTCTCCTCTACTCTCCATTGATCATTTTTGTGCTTGGCTTCCTTCTTTACTTTCCTGTGACTTTTCTTTATTAATCTTTGATGACTTCAGTATCCTATTTCTGTTTATCACCCCCTCCTTTGATCTTTCTCTGTGGACTAACTCCCCTACTCACATAGCTGGCAATACCCTAGACCAGTGATGGCGAACCTTTTTGAGTCCCAGTGCCCAAACCGCAATACACAACTTTTTTTCCTCAAAGTGCCAACACGGCAACTAAACCTAAATACTGAGGTTTAATTCTCCTCTTCTCTCCCCCCAGCATCTTCCGTTCTCTACCCACAGCATATCCTCCTTGCCCCCAGCATCTCCAGCTCCTCATCCTCTCCCCTCCATTCTCTTCTTCTCATCCCCAGATTCTCCTTTTCCTCTCCCACAGATTCTCCTCTTCCTCTCCCCTTCTCCCACCAGCATCGCCTCCTCCTCCTCTCCCCCAGATTCTCCTCCTCCTCTACCCAGATTCTCCTCTTTTTCTCCCCCCAGATTTCTCCTCTTCTCTCCCACCTCTTGCCTCCCCATCAGCATCTCCTCTTCTCTCCCACCAGCATCTCCTCATGCCTCCCCATCAGCATCTCCTCTTCTGTCTCACCAGCATCTCCTCTTCTCTACCCCAGATTCTCTCCCCACAGCATCTTCCCTTCACTAACCTCAGAATATCCCCACTGCCCCCTCTCCCTCCCAGCACATAAATAATGTTTAATTTTTTTTTGGTTCGGATGGGGTTTTGAAGTCCACCAAGGCTCCCTACGTGGTGAATCCGATTCCTTCCCGCTGTTGTGAGGGGGTATGGGCGCGAGGAGCACTGACTTACTGCCGCCGGGAGACAGGAAATTACGTTAATCAGGTGCCTCCATCCCACTCACCCATCATCGATACAAAAGCAGAGTAGGCGCCTGCCGTTTTGGGCAGGCAGGTGCCTACTCTGCATTGCTGCCTGGGGAGGCCTAAGGCTGCTGACCGGTGCCAGAGGCGCCCCCATAAGGTTCGCCAGCTGTGGCACGCATGCCATAGGTTCACTACTACTGCCTTAGACCTTGTCTTTCCAGTCTTTGCTTTGTTTCTAATTTCATTAAAAACGTTCCCCTCTGTCTGACCACCATCTACTAACCTGTGCTGCCAATATGCCCCTCATTCGGCATCTTAAATCTAGGTCATTATGGGCTACATCACTTCACTTTGTCTCTTCTGCCAAGCAAGAGTAGATGAAGTCTTATTCATATCTTCTTCTATGCCCAACGCCACTGCCATAAACTAAACTCTAGTGAATTCACTTTACTGCCAAGATTAACCAAGTTAGGAATGCAATCTCCCCTCTTTCTTCCTCCCCTTCAACATTCAGCTTCCATTCTGTTTCCTGGTCCAATCTTAACTCATTTCTCACTGACCTTTGAACAAGAGGTCTTTTTCTTCCATTTTTCCTCAACGCTTGTCTTGTTGATCTTTATTCATTCACTTTCCCCTAGTGTGGTTCCATTTCTAACGCATATTTTCAACCCCTTTCAGTTGGCATCCTCCCCTCTTCCCTCAAACATGCAAATGTCAATCCCATCCTAAAAAAAAACATATCTTGACCCTACTTCTCCATCTATGTACCGTTCTATATTACTACTTCCCTTCACTTCCAAGCTTCTTGAGCGGTTTGTGTTTACCCATCTAACTCACTTTCTAAATTCTAACTTCCTCCTTGACCCTCTTCAATCTGGTTTCCGTTCCATCCATTCTACTGAAATGGCTTTTACCAATGTAACTAATAACTTGAAATCTAAAAGTCATTGCACTGTTTTAATTCTCCTCGACCTCTTTGCTGCTTTTGATACTGTTGACTACTTTCTTATTCTTCAAACCCTCCAAACCATGGTCTCTATGGTCTATGGTGTCTCTTTTTTATTTTCATCCTATTTTGCTGAATGCTAATTTAGTGTATTCTTACCTGGTGCCACATCCTGCCCACTGCCCATCTCAGTTGGTGTTTCCCAAGGCTCTAATCTTGGTTCTTTTTTATACATTTCCACTGCCACTTTTGGTAACCTTATGAATGCTTTTGGATTTCTATGCCATCTATATGCTAATGAAACACAGATTTCTTTCCTCCCTCCAGAAGTGCACCTTCAGTTATCTTCCTGGACATCAATGGTAAACCCTATTAACCCAACCTCTCAGGCTCACTGTTTACTTTTAACTCAAGTCTTACCTTTTCTTCTCACATTCAGTCTGTCTCCAAATCCTGTAACATCCACCTTACAAATATTGGTCAAATTCACACTTTTCTAACTCATGTTATAGCTAATACACTTGTTCACTCATCATTCCCCAACCTGACTACTGCAACTTACTATTAATCAGCTTCCAAATACCCATGATGCCCCTCTTCCATCCGTAATGAATGCTGCTGACAGACTCATCTTCCTGACTGACCGCTACTCCTACACCTTACCCCTTTGCCGGTCATTACATCGGTTGCATGGATTCAAAATGTTAACACTAACCCTCAAAGTCCTCAATATTTCCACTTCTCACTACCTTTACTCTTTACTCAACATTACACCCCTCTTATTACCTTTGCTCTGTGATCTACCTTCTCCTGTCATCTGCTTGTTCCTATATTGGCAACTCTAATCTGCAGGATTTTTCATGGGCTGCCCCGTTCCTATGGAATTCCCTACCCTGTACCATCAGACTCTACCCTAGCCACCAGTCCTTTTAAAAGTCATGAAAAACATGCCTCTTTAGGAAAGCCTATGACCTTCCTATGTGATGCTTCTCATTACAATTGTCCTCCTTCATGGCCTTGTTTCCATAGTCTAGCTCTCTTTCCTTCTACTGTTCAGTTCTTCAAAACACCACTTTTACCATCTCATTTTGACACAGACATCTTACCCATCATCCTCCCCCTCCACCCCCCAACATGCTGTTCTTCCTCTTGTGTTTCTTTACCACTACCTCAAAGATTGTAAGCTCGTTTGACCAGTGCCAACTTCACCTCTTATCTTTTATGTTCTGGAAGTCATTTACATGCTTTCAAATATCACCAATCTGTAAGTTTAAAGTGCAAAATATGGTGGTGCTAAATAAATGCTAATTATTGTTCTATCTATCTATCTACCTACCTATCTATCTAGGCAACATATTTGGTTATTTTTCTCACTTGAGAATTTTTAAGAAGTGAATTTCAAATGTAAGGTAAAAATGGCATGGAAAAATTATATGCTATGTCAGCTATGTTTTCAGTTCTGCGGTTTTTGCCTAAATGTTGAGATGCACTTTGAATTCCCAGCAATTCTTACTTTACTAAATAATCCTAAATGTGCTGCTGAACTTAGACCTTGGTGTTCTTGGAGTAAGCAAGTCCGGTTCTTCCATGATCTAGTAATTTATATGGAATTGTTCCTACATAATACAGATTGTTAAGTGTAATGTGTGATACCTTCAGTTCCTTTATGTTGCCGTAAGTCAACCTGGCCACCCTAACATTTTACCACAGGACAGTTACAGAGCCACCCTGCCAAATCATTCCTAACTACATCCTAACTACACAATTCATGATCCCCATGGTGGAAAACATGTTATATATTATACGTGATACATACTATCTTCTCAAAAATTATATTTGTGCATTACTAAAGTTATCCTCTTTCATTTTTCATTAATGTGATTTGATCTATGTTCCAGGCTGACTCTGCAGAAAAACTGCGTCAATATGGACTCTCTCATATCTATAATCATCCAGTCCTTGTAACACGAACAAGATCATGTCCTCTAGTTGCTCCTATAAAACCCCTTCCATTACCACGGTGGAAACTCATAAGGCCAAAAAAAGATATTAACATAACAGATGAAGCCAAAGGTATGTGCATCAGTTATACAAATGATATTCTATAAAATGGTTATTGAAAATTGTTATTTCAAAGGTTTGCTTACAATCTTAGTAGAAAAAAAGAGATCACCTTTAAATCAATGGGAAACTATTGATTAGAGTTTGCTGCAAAAGGAGTAGTGATGTATTTTGGTCTAGGTATCAGCCTGGGCCTGAATTATAACTAGGCTGTATAGGACAAATGATCTATTATGATATTGTCTATTGATAAACTACTGACCTGCTTTGTGAAGAGAAACCATGTATGGATGTGTTTAACTGATTTAAAAATTCCATATTTCTACCACGCACAAATTACACTTTACAGGTAACAGTGGATGCATGATAGTCAAATTCCTAATAAATATTGAATATTCAAGCTTACACTTATGTGGAGTTGGCGTAGATATATACATTTTATCCACGTAGGTAAGAGAGATACTTTTATCCCATAAACTCACATTGATCTATTCATTCAGAGCTAAATTGCAAGCGAATGTTGTTAATTTGTTTTATACTAATATACATTCCTACACATACACAGGCATGATAATTTCCCACAATTTAAAATAATTGATTTTTAATGAAAACATTGACCTTTGTTTAGACCCATGCCCACTCACACACACACACTCACTGATCCATGCAGACAACCACACACTCACTCATGCAAACATCTGACACTGCTCTAAGGAGTCATACTAAAAGAGAGCCTTGCAGACACACATTAACCCATACAGACACACATTGACCCATGCACATAGACCCAATGCAGGCACACTGACAACGGCTGATGCAAACACACACTGACCCATGCAGGCACACACACATACACACTGACAAATGCAGACACACTGACACTGACCCATGCACACTGACCCATGCAGACACACTCACACTGATCAATGCAACACACTCACACTGACACATGTGGACCCACTGACACTGACCCATGCAAACACACTGACCAATGCAGACACACTCACATTTACCCATGCAGGCACACATATTAGCCCATGCAGATACACACTGATCCATGCACGCACACACACACTGAGTGACTGGCCCCTGTGTTGAGCAAGACAGGCTGCTGTTGGACTGGCAAGTCCCTTACTATGCAGGCTACTGGCTGGCACTGGACCCTAGCTGCATTGCCTGCTGCCGTCTGTGACACTCACAGTGACCCATTCAGACATACTGACACTGACCCATGCAACACACTCACACTGACTCATGCAACACACTCACATTGACCCTTGCAGACACAAACAGACTGACACATGTAGATACACTGACACCGACCCATGCAGACACACATTGACCCATGCTGATACACATACTGACCCATGCGGTCAGAGGCATAACTAGAATCCACTGGGCCCTGGTGCGGAAATTGCCCTGGGGCCCTCCTCCCATGTGTTTTATTCCTCCCCTCCCCGGTGTCTCATTCCTGCGCCAAGGCCCCCTCCCCCCCTTGTGCCTCATCCCTCTGCCCCACAGCCCCTCCATGTGTCCCATTTCCTCTCCCCCTTAGCCCCTCCAAGTGCCCCATAGAGTCCTCTCTCCCCCCTCCCCTCCCTGTGTCCCATGTATCTCTCTCTCCCCCCTCCCCTCCCTGTGTCCCATGTCTCCCTCTCTCCCCCTCCTCTCCATGTGTCCCATTTCTCCCTCTCTTCATCCTCCCCTCCAGGTCCATGTGTCACTTTTCTCCCTCTCTTCCCCCTTCCCTCCAGGTGTCCCAAACCCTCCATTTCTCCCCCTCCCTGTGTCCAATACACCCCGTCTCTCCCCCCTTTCTCCCCTGTGTCCCCTACCCTCCATCTCTCCTCCCTCCCTTTGTTTCTTTTCTACCTCTATCCCCCTCCATGTGTCCCATTGTTCCCTCTCTTCCCCTCCCCTCCCTGTGTCCCATACCCTCCATTTCTTCCCCCTTCCCTCCCTGTGTCCCATACCCTCTCTCTATCCCCCCTCTCCTCCTGTACCTTACTGGCCGCGGTTCCCGGTCTGACAGGAAGTGCTCTGACAGTGAGCATTTCCTTTCAGAACGCTCGGCCAAGCTACACACAGGCAGAAGGGGAACAGCACAGTGCAGCTCTCCCTTCCTGCCACACATCCAGTAACCTCAGACCCGGCCGCACTAGACCATAAGGTATCCAGGCAGCCCACTGTCGCAGGGGTCGCTGCTGCAGGCACACACACTGACCAATGCAGACACACACTGATCCATGCAGACACACACACCGACCTTGGTGGGCACAGTTGATTGGCTCCTGCGTTGGGCAAGGCAGGCTACTGTTGGACTGGCAGGTCCCTTGCTGTGCAGGATGGTGGCTGGCACTGGCCTGTAGCTGGCCTGGATAGAGTGGGGAAGAGAGGGCAGCATTGCAGGCTGTCCTCTTTTGGCCGCCTCTCCATCCCTTACAAGCATGAAGGAGGAGGTCAAACGGGGGTTATGATGAGTGAAGTTATAGACCTGCTCGCTCTCCTCTGATTGGTGCAGCGGCACGGCAGTCCACCAGGAAGGAGAACAAGCAGGTCTGTAGTCGTCTTACATGGTGTGGCAATGGCACACTTTGCCATAGCTGCACACTGCCTCGGCATGGGAATGGGCAGGCTAGTAAGGGAGATTTTTGATCTCCCCATGGCCGTGATGCCTGAGGCAATTACCCCGGTGGCCTAAAGGGAAATCTGGCCTTGCCTAGAACACTATCCTAACCATAAATTCCCCCAAAACCCCACTCTTACCAGCATTGTTTTTTTTCTTGTTGATTTTTCTTAAATACAGCATGAAAATTTGATTTCACTATTTTTAAATTCAAACAAACAATGCAGCAACGAGATCTATTTGAATGGCACGTAATATGATTTCAATTTGGTTGATACTGAATAAAGTGCTTCTCAGATAAACGTGATTAGTCAATTTAAAGGGCAATAAGGTATATAAAAGTGACTAAGCTAAGTTGAATAGATCACACAGGCACTCACATAGAGATACGCACACTTGTTTGTTTACCATGAATTACTATCATAATTTTGTAGATGACTTGTGCATTTGAAATATTGCTGGGGATTTTAAGCTTTATTGAGTAAAATACAATCCAGTATTGGTAGCCATTTCCAGTTTTTAGGTATTGTGCAACAGTTGTCAAAGTGATCACAATTCATCTTTCACTACACATTTTACTGCTGGTAATGCCACAAAATTCATAACACTTTATCATCTTGAAACTGGGCATAACTCAGTAATCTTGAGTTTGATATGGCCATGTATTGCAAGTTTAATGACAAAAGAAAACAGACTATATTGTATATATACTGACTTCCTCCTACCTTGCTTGTTCAATGATCACGTGGCACTCAAACTCTGACATTTTTCCAGTTCCTACTGCTACCTCTAGCCTCTCAGACGGTGGCCTCTGAATACATGCCACATTTTATGATGCAACACACACGGGCCAGTGTCATGATGTCACAGACAACAGTAATACATGAAAAAAATAATTGCAGTGCACTCAGACTACAAAAAATACAACACGAAGAAGGCTTATAAATTGCCTATCTAAGAATAAATATGGGGATTTAGTTCCACCATATGGCCATATGATGTTAAGCCCACCACTGCTTTCAAAGTACCCCAATGTTGGTGGGTCCTACGCTAAAATGTGGGGGACAAATTTAATAGTACTAGTGTTATAAATAAAGTGTATTATTAAATCCTTGTAAGAGCAAAGTGAGTATACAAAAATAAAGTGATGAAAGCAATTAAAAACAGTGTTGAAACTAAACAATTAAAGTGTTAGTGACAGAATGAGTATACTCACTATTGCAGATGATATCTGTGTTGAATGGAGAAAATAATAAAAGTGACCTGATTATTGAAAACTCCTCCTATATATACACACCTGTGGCCACCTCTAAAGGGGCCTCTGAAGCTGGGGGGGCCTGGGCAGGGTGCTTAACCCCAAGGGAATCTGGTCTGAATTCCAAATATACTGTGTACATAGTCTGAGTAGTCTGAGTGCGCTGCAATTATTTTTTTTCATGTATGTAGTTTGGTCACTGCGGCAGCACCTTTCATGCAAAATGCAGGTCTTGGGTGTGCCCCCATTCCTTTCTCTGTACACAGACAACAGTAATAGACCTATTCAATCACCTCATAGATGCAATATCTAGTAGACTATCACATTACATAGACCTACAACTTCAACCTTTGGTACAGAAAATGAGATCTTATATAAAGGATACCATAGCAGTATTAAATATGCTTAATAATTGTGTCTGGGAAGACCACTTTTTGCTAGTTACATGTGATGTTGCATCATTGTAGATAGAATTTGTTATGGAAGGTATCAAGTTAATCCTAGAAAATAACTATTTTTGGTTTGGGGGAGAATTTTTTCTCCAAACCAATGGAACGGCCATGAGGACCATGTTCGCCCCCAGCTATGTGAATTTATTTATGTCATATTGGGAAGATAATTTTATATATGAAGGACATGGCTGGGGTGAAAGCTTGGTCACCTATGGCCGTTATAGCGATGATATTTTTTTCATTTGGAAAGGAAGAGTTCAGCTTTTAGAAGAATTTTTAGCCTACTTGAACTGTAATACATGGGGGATTAGCCTGACCATACCTGGAGCGAGCAAGAAATATATTTTTCGGATCTGACCATTTTTATAGAAGGAGGGCAGATAAAGACTAAGAATTTTTTTAAAGCAGTAGATGCTAATAGTTTTATAGAAAGGGAAAGTTGTCATTTTACTCCATGGTTGGAGAATGCCCCTAAAGGGCAATTTTTACGCATTAGGCGGAATTGTACAGATTTGGAGAGTTATAATCTACAGTCAATGAAGATCAAACAGGATTTTCTAGATAAGGGATATGATGATACAAAATTAGAAGAAGCTCGGATACAGGTTATAGAGAGAGAACGAAATAATCTCTTAAAATATAAGGATCGTACTCAACACAATAAGGAAGGAGTACCTTTTATTTGCAATTACAGTTCATAAAATTTTAGGATTAGGAAAATTGTAAGTAGATTTTGGCCTATTCTCCGTGAAGATCCAGTGTTAGAAAAAATATTACCAGTACAACCCCAATTTGTCCATAGAGGAGTGAAGAATATACGTAGTATTTTAACATCTAGTTGTATCAGGGAAAAGAAGAATCATGACATGTTTTTAAATCAAGAAAAAGGTTTTTTTGGTTGTGGCCAGTGCCTGGCATGTAGAAGAACAGGAAATAAAAAAAAAGAAAAATCACTAGCTTTAAGAGTACAGTGAAAAAAGAATATGAAATAAAAGATGTAATTACATGTCATACAAATAATGTAATTTATGTAATACAATGCCCCTGTGGTTTAAATTATGTGGGTACAACTACCAGGCCTCTTCATATCAGGATTGAAGAACATAGTAGAAATATAATGAAGGGGGACGAAAATCATAGTGTACCTCTTCATTATAAAATTCATCATAATCAATCCCCGCTAGGCAGTATTTTTTTAGGATTAATTAGAGTGGAAAAAGACTGGAGGAGGGGTGATTTTAATCAGAAACTTAGTAAAGAGGAGATGAAATGGATTTTTGAGTTAAATACTCTTATTCCTTATGGGTTAAATTCCGAATTTGAAATTTGTCATTTCCTAGAATAAATTAAAATATGAATTTCTCCTTTATAGAAATTTAAAATAAACTAAATAAATTATAATATTAATTCCTTCACTATAGAACAAGGTATAATGGTTTGTATATAATAGATAAGTATCAATATATAATAATAGAAACACGATAAAATAAAACTGATTAAGGTGTTTTTTTGGGGGGGGGGTTAGATAGATGTATAAATAAATAAGAATATTAAAAAAGATCATAAATAGGATGTAAAATAATTGATCACGTTTTTTTTCAAGAGTGAGTAATTAATTTGTATTGAGAATTCACATAAAGATCTGTTTGCAAACACTTTTTTTTGGATACACTATTGAAAAATTTGCAACGATATACAAATGTATCTTTATATATACATTGTTGCAAGAAGTTGTAAAAATAACTGAATTTGTATGTTCTGGTGATTAACTATATAAAGTATAGGTAGATTGCATAGAAATATATTGAAGAAATGCATTTCATTCAAAAGAGAGATAAGAAATGATATTGTTTATTTTATTGTTTTTTAGGCGATTAGAGAATTGAGATATTGGTTTATATTTGTTCTACTAAGATTTTATATCTCCGGATATTTGTACAGAGTTCCTCTTTTTTCCCCCTTTTTTCGTTTGTGTGATATGTTTTTGAGAACACTCGATAAGAGAGATCAAGGTTCTGAAGCAGAAGGACACGACGGGGTTATGGAAAACTATGACGTATGCGGAAGTGAACCGCAATGAGAAAGAGGCTTGGAACACACACAGTGTCCGCCAAGGAAGTGGCAGCATCAGTGCGCCGAAAAGAACAGCTGAATGCTGTTCTTACAATCATGGACAGAGTATATAGCAGGACTCAGAGCAGGAGAAAAGAAGGTATTGAACTTTTTCACCCAGCTGAGGAAGCCGATAGAAAGTTGGCGAAACGCGTCCTGGGGACTTTTAGATACCACCTTTATGCCCTTTTTATATATATTTGTATGTTTTGTATTTTTAGAGATTCTAACTGGCCATTGGAATTTTAAATTGACATTTTTATAATAAATATTTGCTCTTATATTGGGCAATTGGTTCCTGCTATATAGGAGTGTAGTCCCTAACTACACAACGTGCTGGAAAAGAGCCTTGAGAGTGGCTCCATATTTGTGAGTAGTGATGTCGTGAACCCGAAATTTTCGGTTGGCGAACGCGATCTTCCGCAAATGTTCGCGAACCGGCGAACCGGGCGAACCGCCATAGACTTCAATGGGCAGGCGAATTTTAAAACACACAGGGACTCTTTCTGGCCACAATAGTGATGGAAAAGTTGTTTCAAGGGGACTAACACCTAGACTGTGGCATGCCGGAGGGGGATCCATGGCAAAACTCCCATGGAAAATTACACAGTTGATACAGAGTCTGGTTTTAATCCATAAAGGGCAGAAATCACCTAACATTCCTAAATCACAATCAATATGGATTGACACCTGACATATGACATATTGACACCTTGACATATGGATTGACACCTGTCCTCAGAGCCCCTGATGCACACGGACACAGAGCAGAATAGAGACTGGTCCCCCTACATAGGGTCACTTGGCAGATATGGATTGACACCTGTCCTAAGGATCCCTGATACACACTGACACAGAGCAGAATAGGGACTGTTCCCCCTACATAGGGTCACTTGGCAGATATGGATTGACACCTGTCCTCAGAGACCATGATACACACTGACACAGAGCAGAATAGGGACTGTTCCCCCTACATCGGGTCACTTGGCAGATATGGATTGACACCTTGTTACAAACTGCTATTTGTAACGGGCCCTTTAAATGGCAAATTGCCCTGCTTCCCTGGGTTGTGGAGAAGCCTATTTGCCAGCCTCCTCCCGCATGACTATGGCCCCTGGGAGATTGTGAAAATGTATGCACTTTTATTTGGTGTGTATGGCCCTTTAAGACTGTCGGTGGGCATATTGGGGCTTATGGACTCTTTATGTGACTGGTGCTGGCCCTTTAAACACCTTTTTTGGGACATCAGGAAGATTGGGACACTGCCCCTTTAAGGCCGTGTCCCCAGACTTGTTGGGGACACGGCCCCTTTAAGACGGTGTCCCCTGTGTCCCCAGACCTGGTGCAAACCCTTTGTGCCTGCCTTGCTATTTCCCACTTGGTTCAGTAAATGGGAAATTATTTCAGCTGCAGAGACTAAGTCCCATTCGGCGATGGGACTTAGTCTTTTTTTCAGCCTGAAATAGACCGACCTCACAGCCCAAATCTATGGAACTGTTTTGGGCAGGAAAATGTGCTTGCGGTCGGTCATAAAGGGACCTCCAGCTAACTTTTTAACCCCTGGATGGATTTGGCTGATTTTTGGTTATGTTTATGTTTTAAGTGTGCTGATTCCAAATATGTAATTATGAAGATGGGATGTGTAGTTTTAAAGTTACAGGGTATGGCTAAAAACTGTATTTTTACTGCCTGTGTTTTAGTATATTGAAAATCTAACCCCCAAGCGTCTCATTTAAGTTCAAAGTGGAGAGAATGTTAAAAAAATATATTTTTTGTTCGGAGTGTGAGAAATGCTTTTCAGCCGCTTCTAATCTTAAGCATCATTTGAGGAGCCATACAGGAGAGAAACCTTATTTGTGGTGTGTTTAGTATTGTTCTGATCAGTTTAATACCTTCAGCGTCTCCTATCAGTGGACGTGTATATGGCAGCCATTTTAGGAACCGTACACCTGGGACCCGAGCAAGGTCACCTCGTTCAACAGGCTTGCAGCGTATCCTCCAGGAAGAAGAGCCTGAACCCTTACCGGCTGCACGTGTCTTACCTGTACATGGAAAGCTGCTGTAGTTCCTTGATGAGCCAGCTGCCCGTGAGTTAACATGTCCCGTGGAGAAGCACTCTGTCCTGTAAAGCCTCACCAAAAAAAAGGAGTGGTGTGTTTAGTATTGTT